AATACGCTATTTAATGTTTTAACCAACTGTTGGCTGCGTGTCTGTGTCGAACTTTAAACACACAATTAAATATATTATTATATTTCAATATTTGATTACCTAACTTTATTTTACTATCGATTTGCACCACCAAAAAATACTAATAGGTATGTACCTAATATTATTTTGTTAGAGTAAAAATCTAATTTACTTATAGCCGTATGTAAATAATATATTTTGGTAAATTATAATTTTATTTCAGGTCGTTCTATAAATTAAGGAAACAAACTTTAGAAAATGTAATTTATTACTAAATTCGTAATTCACAAACATATTTGTTGTTAAAAATACTGTACAATTAACAAATAAATACTTAATCAATTATTTTGAGAAATTTAATAAAGGCTAGTGCTGAAAATTGGAATTTGTGTTCTATTTCGCTAATAATCAATTATTACACAAAGCAGTATTAGGTTATTTAACATAATACACAAGTATTGTAACTTTAAAACTAAGTCTGAACGTTAAATTTTGATTTCGCCGTCGTTTTCCGTATAGTTAGCTAAATGTTTCAAAACAAAATGGCCATTAATTGAATGTCCGGTAAAGTAGAAATATACCTCTGTTTTAGCTGCAGTATCTACTTGTATACCTAATAATATTATTTCTTAGAAGTCTCAGAATGGACAGAGGTATGTGTAAAATAAATAAAATAATAATTATTTGACCGCAATATTATAATTTAGTACACTACGAGTCTAGTGTATTAATTACACATCAAGTTTAAATTGCAACGAAACTAACTAGTTTTACGAAATAACGATTGTTCATTACATTATATAATTTTTACCTACAAGGTTAATCATAATAATTAAAAAGACATTTTTTTATGTTAGGACTATTAATAAATAAAATAAAATTGAATGAAATAGGTGAATCTTAAGTATTTTAACTAAATACCTAGACTAATAAATAAAAAGGCAAAAATTAAATAAGTACCAAATACCCACACAGAAATTCGAATATTTATTGGTTTTAGCGACGCTGTAGTAGTCAGTAAACTAATAGAGATATCTTTGTCCTAGTTTTTTTTTATAATAATATGTAATTATTTAAAAAAATTATTTGAAGTGTCGACTAATTAATTCAACATCATATACAGTCCGTTTTTGTAAAATGATTAGTTTACATTTATACAAAAATATTTATTCTTTCTTAAAAAAACTTGGTCTCGTTTTAAGAATATGGTAAATAATATCGAAGTACTATTAGACTTTCTATTTTTTACTACATCTCATCTATTTATATGTATGAGGTATAACGGTACTTATCCAATTGACATGCATATAGCTTGATGATGTAAACTTATATTATTAATATAGCTATACTATAAGTAACTCGTTAAGACTTAACACAATATAAAAAATCCTTTATCGTATGTATTAGTGAATATTGCGTAAATAATTGTTTAAGATATATTTTAGACGTAGGTCGGTACTAGAAAATACTTGACGACTAATAATTTTTAATGTTTTTTGATTTCCTCGTAAGTAAAAATATATGTACAACAATTTAAATGAAAAAATAGAGTTAATATTATTATTTTACAAAGTTTTTTCGACTATTATTGCAAAAGAATAATTGACCTTAAATTAATCCATTATCTACTATAATAATAAATATATTTTTACTTTATTACATTAATATAAGGTTAATTGAGAATCTATTTCATATTTTACATATTGTACCTACCTAATTATTACTCGAACATTATAATGGAAGCAATATATAAACATTTAAATGTCGGGAAAATAAGTTTTACAAAATTTTGCCTTGTTAACAAAATTATTCAATAATATTCGGTTTAACATTTTAGTCTCAAAAATCTATCTCTTTAATAAATCACTTATTTATATTTTTTTTTAAATTAAAATACCAATTGTAGATACTGCGTTTTTTGTGATAAAAAATGATTACAATAACAATTTAAAAAAAACAGAATTTATCATACACATATTTTCATATTAATTCTGACTAATCAAAGATAGATATGTTTGTTCAAAATTTGGAAAAACCTCATTCAAATGTGTATATTTTATTAAATTATAAAACTTTAAACGAAAATAATTAAATAATATTGCCATTCAATTTTAAACAAGTAGACATTGGTAATTGTTGATCGGTTAATCTATAGGATTACTAGATAAATAGTGCCATAATTACACGTATACAGTTTACTGTGTTTTATTGTAAGATATATTAATAACTGCTTAATCGTCTAGTATTCAGAATTTTAATACGATATTTTAGTACCTGGATACTATTTATTCAAAGGTCATTTTATGATTTAAATAAAATTATGTTTTACTACTCTTTAACCTAGTAAAATCGATGTAAAAGTAAAATAAGCTATTAAATATTATTCTGTAATAGTATATTTTTGAAAAATTTTCATTTTTTTACCTTGTCGGCAATGCAAGATAGTGGTTGTTAAGTATAGATGAAAAAAAAACAAACCAAAATTCAAAAATAAAAACAAAATTTCTATATACTTTGCTATTATTTTATATTTTATTAGACATCAGTTCTAACAACAAATTCAGATTAATAATGGTTATTTTAAAAATTAAATTTATTTAAATAATTAATATATAAACCATTTTTTTTATTTATATTATTTTCTACTTATTCTACTTATCTATGTTATGGGCATAGTTTTTCTATATTAAGAAAGTTTAATTTCTATTTTGTTGGTATGTATGTATGTCTGTATTAAAATGATTAACATATTATTATAACTTACTTTATATTATAGTATGTGTCATGTATGTTATCCTAAATATTGTATTATTGCTTATGTTAGATAGGTATGTATTATGTTTATATACTATCACATTTCTAATAAAATATAACATAGTAGCTAAATATATAAATTTGATTTTGAGTTTCATGGGTTTCTTTCTTTAGGTTTTGTTTTTTATGTTTTGGTTTTTATTTTTGTGGTTTTTTCCGTGATTACTGATTAGGTTTGTCTCCACACAATATATTAACAACATAATAAATTGCCTACCAAATAATACACATAAGGAAATAATGGTACCTAAAATCATAATGATAATAATCGATAATGTATCATTCCAAGAATGAAGATAGTATTATATAAGAGGATATTCGAGTGACCAAATAGATACTATATTTTATTTTATATCTCTGCAGATCAGTAGTATCACGACAAATTAATTTATGTTTAACAGAACTAATTTTGTATTGCAAGCTTTAATACTAGAATAAATTGTCAAATTGACCTAAATAAAGATCAGAAAAGTTCTTAAAGATAAGAACGGTATCCGTATTTATACGTTGTTTTTTTTTAGAACTTTTCTATCGCAGATAAATGTTGATGATACAATAATAATTTTTAAATTGTAATATTTTATATACCTACTTATAACTTATAAGTTATAACTAGCATAACAATTGAAATATCGGAAAAAAGTCAACGTAAAAACACAGATAATTCTCTTATCTTATAAATTTAATAATATGTGTCAATTAACTATAATATTAGAGCTAACAATAGAAAATTGGTTCTGAAGAACTCAAATTTACCATGTTATGTGTGATTCAGAGAGAAAGACATAACAGATAACCATGATATGTTTTTTTATATGTATATATATTCATAAGTGTATAGTAATTATAATTTACAGTTGATTAGATTTTAATTTTTAGTGACAATGTCAAAAAATAGTTCTTCACAATTTAATCAAAATCAGTTAGTATATGTTTAAGAAATTATCATGTGAAATATAAATATCATAAATAATTGATGAAATTAATTGAGTTTTTTGAAAATATTCTAGTTTTATGATAATACAATGACGCTTATGATTAAAGTTACTGACTACTGAGTAACTCAATTTTTTTAAATAGATAACTTTTTTAACTTTTTCGTATTAATTTACAAAAATGATCCTTTTTAATTTATTATACTGTATAATGGCTTAAACAATTACAAGTTTATGCCTAATAAATGAATAAATCAAATTTTACATTTTATTTGTTTACTTATTTTACTTTAAGTAATTTACAAAAAAATATTTTATGTATTTTCAACTACCGTTAGGTATTAATTTTTATACCTAAACATGTTTTTAATTTAACATTTTAATATATAAGTTAGGTACCTATATATTAATAATCTATTACTTTTAAATTAACTTAAAAAAGCAAGATAATTACAGTATCTAAACAGTTAATGTAATTATTTTATCAAGTTTATTGGAGAATTAACTAACTAATTAGTTTTAAAGCTTAAAAAAATTAACTTTTTGAGTATAGTTAATAATCACCTTTTCGAATAGATTTACTTTCAGTTATACACAACATAATGCGAATAGGAAGATAGCTGACAAAGTTATATGGAACATTTTTTAATTCATCCATGTAGGTATATAAATTTATTAGTAGTAATTTATTCGAGAGATATAAGGGCGTTATCTCCACTCCCTCTATACTCTTTGTAGTCTTTGTCGATAGGTAAAAAATGTAATTCATATTTTGATCCCTCCCCAAAAAAGATATAATAACTCCAAATTATGCCACTGCCCCTCCACACCAAAAATGCTCGTGAACGCCAGTTGTATGTGCAGTGTGGCATTGGTTACGTAATGTACGACATTAGGAATAGGTATTCGTATTATAGTATTAGCTATATAGGAGGTAATAATAAAAAAATAAGATGTCGCCAGTCTGTACGTTACGAGTAAACTGTATGTATTATAATATGTACTATATAGGTTATTTTATAATTAATATTTAGTAATTATTATTTATTAAACTAGGTAATGCCGCGAGTTGTCATTTGTTATAACTCATAAATGATAATAACAAAATTATAATTTAAATTTATAATAACGCAATAACTGTGTATAATATTATTTACGGGCTATTTAATAGGTAGTATACTTTCAAGAGATATGTTATTATATCATATATTTATGTATATATATTTGTGACTGTATGTACAATAGACCACAGTGTATAAAATGAACGACGGACGCAGTTGACATCGGGACAGATTGCTACACGTCCAAGTTTTCCCCACTACTCCGCTGCCACTGTTGGTTCCTATGACTGGGTGGTGCACTCGCCGATGTTACGGGGAATGGGTATACCAAACGTTTTTCTTTCGGACGATGTTCGGATTGTTCAGAATTATTCCCGTTCGTCTTGATAATTATTATTTATTGTTTTATTACACATTCTGGTAATTTTACAATTTTTTTTGGTTTATTTTTCTGAAGAAAAAAATTTTGAAAAAAATTACTTTATCCCGTAGTTTACGTATGAATCAGTGAGCAGTTATCAGAATCAAATTGCACTTGCAAATAATATGATAGTATGAAAATTGCGGAGAAGTATATTATACCGAATAAATGTTATTAACACGGTACACTAGCGTTTTGCGTTTTACAGTTTAATGACCTTATTGATATCTATTTTCAATTTGTTTTTTTTTTATGATAACTATGTTCTATTATTTTTTTTTGTTTTTCTAATATTTACCGTGGTGTGTATCGAGTTTTGAGTATAGAGTAGTCATTAATTACTTATCCCCGCATTATTCTTATCGCTGAAATTATCATTTTAATAGAGGGTTTTTCTTAATTTTTTTGTTTGTTTCATCTTATATTAACTATTGATTGTTATTTCGTGATTGGAGTGACATCGAAGAAGCATCAAATCACTAAAAACCGAAAAAGCTGGTAAGCTACCCATATCTGTTGTTAAAATGGACATTTTTATTGACTGCATTTGTGAATGTTAACAAGATTTTTCATTAGAAATTACTAAATTATTTATGTTAATGTATTCGATCTTATTGATTTTTACTAGTAAATTCACGCAATTCCATGAAATTTAACATACAAATTTTCTTATATCTTGACTTAATTTGACATACACATCCATAGAAGAGTATAACAATTAGTAATAAATTGTATGTAAAATAAATTTGAAAATATGTTAGATAATCAATTTTTAATGTTTTCTGATATATTTTTTTTTAAATGTGATTATATTACATTCTAAAAATGTCTATAGTTACAATAAATATATGTATATTTTAATAAGTTTCTATTAGAATTAAAGATATTAAGTACTTATATTCTTTAGTTCTTTGTATATATTTTATCATAATTAAAAGATATTGACTTAATAGATATCATATAAGTTTTTATTGAAATATATTTGGTTTGCTTAAAAACCTTAGGAAGTTTTTAATAGTTGAATCAATTATATTTATAATTTATGTGTATTCATTCAATTAATTTAACCAATAATTATTGTATAATACACTAAATTTAAAAGCCTGAATGTTAGAACTATTACATCATATCATTAATATTAATAGCTGTACTTATTATAATTAATACAGCTATTTCTTAAATTATATAATTGATAATAAATTATAATTTTATTTTTTAATCAAACATTCGAAAAACTACCTACCTATTTATTTACTTATATTTTTGAAATATAACTCAAATTCTATGTATATTTTACAAAAATATTAATTTTTAAATTTTTTAGTATTGTGTGTGAATATTTTAATAATCAATTAATCAATTTATTTTTAATAACCTTGCATTCAATTTCTTATTTCTAAATTGTAAGTATGTTATTGTGTACTAAAAATGACAAGAAAATGAATGAAATGTTCACAATTTTTTTTTTCGTTGACTTAATTTTGTATGGATAATGGAATATTATTATTATTTAAAATATTGACGGTGACAATGATTGTTAAGTAATTTGTTGATTAGAAAATAATTAATTCTTTTAAGGTAGGTACTAAGCCTACTCAAGCTTAAAAATGAATTAATGAATTAAATATATTTCAATAAAGTAAGATTATAAAATACAGAAATAGGAGAACAATAGATAGGTATATTTATTTTTCTAAATCTCCCTTTTAAGATAACTTTTTTAGTAACTATACTTATACCTCAATACTAATAGAACATAGATATGAATATTTTACACACTTTATAAGTTTTCTTAGTATATTTTGAAAAATTTGTGTTGTACAAAATTATTTAGGAATACTTCTAGGTATAAAAATTAGTATATCTCTTTGAATGAAATATTTTGCATCTAACTTATATATACTTGCATTAAAATTAGTGTTAATAGTTTTTAAAATAAATATCTCTTAACATTTAATTGAAATATAATATCTGAATTATCTATCTTGATATTTGTTTGAATTTTAAGCATGTGATTTCAAGTTTTTTCAAATTATTTCAATTTTTAAGATAACTTATAAGTTGCTTTCATAATACAATTAGATAGGTCAATAATACATTTTTATTTTATTTAATGCATTTAAAAATATGAACTTTTTAGTTAGAAATAAATTATCCTACAATATATTAAATTGTGTTCATTATATTAGTTTGATATATTTTTGTACTATATTAAATTAATTTTATTCATAAATGTGAATACTATAAATATATATGATAATAAATTAGTTATAAATATTTATTGTTGGTGTTAAAAAAATTAATTATTTAAATATTGAATAAATATTAAATAAATAACTTTAATTAAGCTTGAAAATATATTACCAAGAAATTAAAAAATTAAAAAACCTTAAAAATATAGTAAATGTATACCTATTTATGATAAATTTATATTATTCTTTAAAATTTAACAATAAATTTGTATTAAAACTTAATATTTTAAAGTTAATTAAACTATTAATTTTATTTTATTCAATTATTCTCATATATCTATTAAAATAATAATTAACCTAAAACTATTAAGAATTGAAAACATTGATGTATAATTTATACTTTAGTTGTAAAAAAAAAGTATTTTTTTAATATTATGTGTGTAAATACAGTAATTTTTCTATATAATCATAATCTTAATTATGATAGTTCTTGTGTGTTTTATAAACTATTCATTATTTGTCTTAATCTGTCTTATTTATTTACATTTCCACAAATATGATGATATAAATAAATAACTAATAAATGCACATAACTTTTTTTTTTTTATCCATTTTACTAATTTATAATTGTTATTCCTTTTGTAAACACAATTTCAGTAATTATAAAATTAAATATATTTTTTATTATAAAAAATAATGAATTTAAACTTGGCAATACATTTTATAAGATTAATAATTTCAAAAACAAATTAATTAATTTATAAATACAATTTAGTTAATTATTTAGAGAAATCTGGTTAAGTTTGCAGGTATTTATCATAAGATGTTTCTATAACAACAGATTTAGGGATGCTGGAGAAATAAAAAGTTCTTATTATTATTTAAGTTGTTTTCTAAGAGGTGTTTCTGAAAATAACCAATAACTTATTATTATACTTATTATTTAATATATATGTAATTAATATTAATTAATTAATTAATTATTATGTGAAAAACTAGTTTTCTTATTTTTTATTTTAAGGATTAAAATTATACTAATTTAATCTTTATTTTATACTATTTATTTTATATTAAATGAATTAAATTAATAGGTAGTACCTATATATTTTATATTACAAATCAGATATATTAACTATTTATAATTCTAATAGATAGAATTGAAATATGAGGTCTATCAATGTAAAGACAGTTATCAACCATTGATTAAGTACATGCTATACAGTATGTATTTAATCAAAATATCAAGCATAATGTTGATATAGCTTAGCTTATAAATAATAGTTTGTATAATAATATGTTGATTGGTAAAACACATTATTTGTTTGGTAAATAGAACTTCTATAAACAAGATAACAGATGTCAAGGCTTGTTGTAAAGTGAGAAAAAAAATTGCAAAGAAGTGTTATTACTAAAATTAATTTTTGTTAAAATCCTTAAATATTTTAATGTAATCCTGTAATTGGAAAATAATTTAATTAAAAATTATAAAATAATTAAATATTATTTTGTAACATTCAAATTTAAACAAATAATAATAAATATTTAAATTTTTAAACTATTTGTAACTGCATTTGGATGTTAGAAACTATTATTTCTTTATATCTTACATTATACAAAGGTTTTATTTAGTAGGTATGTATCACTCATACTCTTTTTTTATTATTAGTACCTAATACACTTTTTAAGCTGTTGGTATAAATATTTTATATTGATAGTACAATACATCAATTTTTATGTAAGATTATTTATACAATTTTACAATAAGTATTTTTTTTAATTAAACTATCTTAATGATAATTATTATTATACAAGGTGTATTAACTTGTTTTCTTTACTGGCTTTTTTTTAATTAAAAAAAATATGAAGGATAGTTTGTTTATTATTATTTTTTTGTTTTAATAATAATTTTAACTAAAATTAATTATTTTTGTATCCATTATAATAACATTCTTAAAAGATATTAAATGAATCATAAACTAAACTACTGAATGATAATTGAAAAAATGTTTTTATCTTGACTTATCGTTTTATATCATCATCAAAGTATTTCATCTTATTATAACTAAAATCATAAATGCATATCTCAAATTATTTTTTTCCATATTTTAGCTGTTCCTGATTATTACTCACAAGTATTAAATCATTATTATTTCATTCTATTTCAAATGTTATTAAATATTTGCTTGAAGTAAGAGTTTTTTTAAATACTGTGCATATTAACAAATGGTTATGGTAGTTATAGAATAATCAAGTAAATCATCAAAATAAATAGCAAAATGAGTAAAAAATATAATACTATTTATTCTTTAATTAACAAATATAAAAACTTTAATGTTATCAAATATTTTATAAGTTCATTAACAATTTTGTTTTGTATGAACTGAATGATACTAAATATTATTCATTATTTTAATTTAAATATTTTAAATAAATTGTAAGTACAAAAAAAGATATTAAATATCAAATAATAAGGATAATGGATATGGTGACGTATGAGTTGGATACAATTATATGAATTAACACTTGTTAAAATTTTTTTATAAATGTGATGAATTATAAAATATTGTAGACTGATGCACTAAACATTTAAATTATTAATGAGATCCAAATAGTGAAATTGTTACTATTTACTTATTTTTTGGCTGTAAAATAAAATGCATTAAAATTCCAAAATATTTTTCTGATTTTGTTATCAAGAAATTTTTTCATCAAATTATATTATTTAAGTTATATATGTTAATCACATTATTTTAATATTGTATAACATTAAAGCTTAATTTACAATGTAATTTAAATATTTGGTAAATATATTTATTGCTTTAATTAAAAAAGAAAATTCAATACAGAAACTATGATCTATTTACTCTTCACTTATTTAAAATTATAAATGTTGGTACTGTTTTGATTACAAAATTTAATTATTTTATGAAATTTCAATTTATTTGAATTTATAAATTAACATAACAAATAACAACTTAATAAATTCTTGTTTGATATTAAAATTCTTTAGATTAACTTCATATTTTGTATTAACTTTGAATTGTTACATAAATGTCACAAATCCTTATTCAAATTAGTTGATACATCAAAAGTCTAGTACTGTCTAATTAGTTTTTTTAATAATATGATTACAATTAGATTATTAATAATTTAACACATATTAGTATAAGCAACATGAGCTATGTAACTATGTATGGCAAATTCTTAAGATTTATTACCTACAATCTTTCTTTTTAATTTTAAAAAGTAAAAAAAAACCAAATAATTTTTCTGTTAAGATTGTATAGTATTCATTTTTTTAAAATATTTTTGATTATTAAATAGCTTTAGCATTGATTATATTTTCAGTTAATTTATTTACCTACAAAAATTCAATATTTGTATTATTTGACATGTTAATTTTTGAAATTAGTTTTCACCAATATTATTAGGAACCTGATAAACCTGATAACATTATTGCTTTAACACTTTACATTATAATATTAGTATCATATGAGGTACTCTATGTTTATAAGTAGCAAATTTTAATCTATGTACTTTTTATTTAAGTATTAATTTGTAATCTCTATATTATGTTGATATTTATCATTATTCTTTATTGTTTAGTTACAATAACTTAATCAACTAGGCATGGGATAAATTGATATATTGGACAAAATTAAAGATATATAATTTTATTTTTAATTGAAATTATTGAAATATAAAAATATATAAATTTAGTTTTGACTCCTATGAGAAAAGAATGATCTTTGTTATACTCTCTTAAAAATATAGCACTGTATAAAATATTTGTATAACTCAGTTATTATATCATACATGCTATGGTTATATATTATTTATTTCAATTACAGTAACAAGATTTTTGTGTATTAATCATCTATATTTTTAGATTTGATTTATTATATTTCAATGTTTATGTTGTATTTTTAAATTGTAATATTTTATGCAGTCATAACTTTTTAATTAACGATTCAAATTGAAATATTGTAAAAATAGCTTATGTTCAAACACTGATAATGTTCTTGACCTTAATTTTTATATTACCTTTGATAATTGTTTAATTCATTCTCATATTTAAACTAATAATATAAGATTGATTCAACTAAAATTAAACTTTGTCATGTTGCGTATAACTCAGAAAGAATAGTAATAATGTGCTTTTATTCTTTTAATAATTAATATAGGCACAGTCTTATTGTAAAAAAAAAAAAATTAACTGATAAGTGATTTATTTAAATAAAGTATTCAACCAATAATAAGATTAAATAAACATTAAAATTTTCAGGTTTCTACCTTCTGTATTGATAGGGTTATGGTAGATTACAATATTTTGTCAGGTTATTCTCAAACCAGACATTTTTGAGAATATCAATGCGGCCCACAACTGAGGACAATATGAACTCATTAGCACCACAACAATATTGTTTACGGTGGAAGTATCATCATTCAAATTTACAAGCAATGTTTTCCCAACTTTTAGAACGAGAGAGTTATTGTGATGTTACATTGGCTTGTGAGGGAAAAACCCTTAGAGCTCATAAGGTATATATTACATACAAATTTTTTAACATTTTTACATAAATTATATTTATACATATTTTCAGGTTATGCTTTCTGCTTGTAGTACTTATTTTGATACTATATTATCACAACATGATGAGAATAAAGCAATAGTTATTCTCAAAGATGTTAAGTTCTCTGATATTCAAGCCCTAGTCAGTTTTATGTACAAAGGAGAAATTAATGTTGAAAATGTAAGTGTTAAGGCTTACATTTTATTGTAAATTTTAGTTATTTATTATATTATTTATTTGTTTTTCAGACTGAGCTTTCTTCTTTATTAAAAACTGCAGAAGAACTTAAGATTAAAGGCTTAGCTGAAGTATCATGGAGATCAGATCAAGAACAGCAAAATCAAAGTTTTAATGTAACTGCTGATGAGACAAATATCAGCAAGAAGAGAAAATTAGATTCAACATTAACAACTACTACTAATATAAAAAAAGAATTTCCAGAAAAACACCAAGTAAATATTATTGGAATAGAAGTGTTTAATATTGTTATCTAATTATAATTATAATTTTTAGGAAAATGATGATATAGATGTAGCAGATGTAGAAGATGAATCTGAACCCGACCAGTCCATCTGGGAACCAGAAATGCAACATGTTGTTGATACTGACAATGTAGAGCTACCTAAACCAACAGTAAGCCAATATTTGTTTAACAATTTTTAGATAAAAGAGTACAATTTTATTTTATCTTTTAAATCAATTTGAATGCAATAAAAATGTTATATTGTTTATAAATACAACTTATATAGCACTTATAAAATATAATAGCATCTAAAATGTTTATGATATTTTTAAGACTGGTGCAGTTAATGTAACAACTTTTTCATCTGAAGAAGAAAGAGCAAGTAGTGTCACCAATGTTAGTCAAGGATTCAGTGAACAACCAGCACATGTTCCGGGTATAATCTATATTCCATAATTATAATTTTTATTACACTATTAATATTTATACTTAAATATTTCTGTTTTAATAGATTTAAGCCAATTTTCTGATGTAATGAAAATGAATGACTATCTAGAATCAGGTGGACGCCGCCCACAATTTTGGGAAGAACCTTTTACTAAAAGACTTATGGAAGCAATAAAAAATAAAGAACTAGAAATGAAAGTGGCTGCAGAGTTAATGGGAGTCTCTTATGGAACCCTTTATGGTAGATATCGAGATGCTTATGGTTGTTTGAAACATCCGTACAGGTATAGTAGTAGCGTTATTCTTTTATTTAAAGTCACTAAATGGAATTATATTCTATAGAGTTCGAGATTTTTGGTTGGAACAAGGTCCAGCCGACGTATTGGCTAAGTTGCAAAGAAAAGAATTAACTCTATTCCGAGCAGCAGAAATATTAAATGTCACAGTAACCACATTGGCGAACTACTTGTCAACAATGAGACAAGGAGATAATTCACTTACTGTAGCCAATGCTACTGCAAGTGCTACTGATAAATCAACATTTAGAGTAGATGTTTTATCTGAAAGTGATAGAGAAGAAGGTTCTGATGAAGATGAAGATGACAATGATGAAATTGATAATATTATTACAAGTAGTACCACTCAATCTCAACAAAATAAACCAGACATCACATTTGTAACATCGCCAGGTTCAATATCTAAAGTGAACAATTTAAATGGTAACTAGCGCTACACCTAGTTATCTGAATGGTTAGGCAGTAGAAATCCTTAAACTTGTTCTAAATTATAATTATAACGGCGGTTCTATTGGCAACAATTTTTTCTTTATTTTTGTTTTTGTTTTGTTTTGTTTGTTTTATTTTATTTTTATTATTTATCTATTGTTTTTATTCATAAATACTTACACATAATAAGTATATTTATTTTCTTAACATTTGGACCGCTGTTAGAAAATATTTACTCTAAATTAACTGATAATAGTACTGTTGTTACTGAAAATAAGTTACAATATTACTCAAATTGGTGCTAATCTATAATGCATTCTTCCATTTAGCTCTCTAGCGTCAAACTTTTCTATTAAAATTAGTTTTTTTTTTTTTTAAATTTTTATTATTAAATATTTTATTTATGTTGTTTGCCTTTAAAATGTTTAAGTTTATAGAAACGTCAATTTATATTATTCCTTATTTTCTTAATTTTCAAAAAAAAAGTTATTAATTTCTGGTCAGTGATTTGCCAATCACAATTTAAATTCACCCCTTGCAATTTTTTGACATATTCATGAATGTTATTATAGTAAACATATTATTGTTTGTGTAATTAAATAAAAGATTGGAGTTTAAGATTAATATTTTAAGTTTGAACAAATAGCTATTTAGATAGTAGTTGTTCTATTAACTAAAATCTTTATGATTATTCAATTATAAATTTAATATTATTATTATATATATTGTGATTTTATTGGGTGTTTATTATAGAACTAAATGAAATGTGTTAGTTTTTTTATGTATATGTATCATTTATGTTCTAATTTAATTCAAGTATTCAATAAGAAATTTTATTGATTCTATCATCGTGATGTCTCATAAAAATATCAGTTTGTTTAGAAAACAATTAAATTTTTTTATATAATGTTAATTTAAAGTAAATGTCAATGCCGAGAGTTTTATAAATTTAACTTAATTGAAAAGAACATAATATTAATGGACAAAAATACTATAGAAATTTTATTGTGCAATATCAATCATAGTCCTAAATAATAGTTATTAAGTCTGATCAAGAATATATAAATATATAGATATATATATATATTAGCGAGAATATTAATATATGATTTTTATAATTATAATAATAATTATTATTACAATTATTACTGTAAATATATTATGTATTGCAATTATAATTATTATCGTAATATTAACAGTATCAGTGTTTATTATCGTAAAATAATATATTTAATATTAATTAAAATAAATGTAATTTAAAAAAAAATATATCTTATTGAAGACTTGAAACCCCAAGACTAGCTGAAAATGTACTATCTAGATATCTATATTTATACACTTATTTATTTACTTATTGTATTGGTACTGTTTCATGGTACGATGGTACTATAAAATACATATTTAAGCAATTTAAATATATTGTGTATATATATTTACTTATTTATAATAGACTTTAGGTTCACCTAAATTTGTTATAAATAATCATACTACATAATTTAACAGCCTTTTACTTTTTGCACTTTTATTTTTTAATTAATCACAACCATATTTGCAATATACAATACATGCATATAAAGATTTTTTTATTGTTTTACGCGTTCCTAGAATTTAATTATTATTATTTTGATAAAATAAACTCATTATGGAATAATTAACTATGTGGCTGAATATAATCACATTTTCACACTAAATTATCTATTTTCATAAAACTATACAATTTTTATCAGACTATTACTTAATATTTATTATATCAAGAAAAAAGATTTTATTCAGCTGCAGTTTTTAGTTAACTTATTAATGTTTTATATTGTTATTTAAGGTGTGATTTTTTTTTTACTATTTATTTTTATTTTATTATTATTTATTCTTTTTTTTTTAAACTCTGACAATTAAACAGTAAGAAAACTCTAAGAAACTTTCATAAGTTTTAGGCATGTTTTAATATTTTTTCTTTCTTTATTTAAACATATTTAATTTAAATAGCTGGGTTATTTTATATAATGTTATTGATTTTCAATATATGATAATAATTACTTTTTTCAGTGGAATAGTCTGAATATCTAATTTTATATTTACCTATATTACAATTGTTTATATTTTCAATGTATTCAAATATTTGTTTATATTTGTCAAATCTATAATTCACTACTTATAAAATAGATTTTTTTTTTTTTTTTTTACTATGTTACTTCAAAGTTATACATTACCATATGCATAAACTAATTTATATGTCATTATTAGATTACAATTTACCATCAACTTATTCTATTATGCACACATTCGACAGAAATAATTGTTAATTATAAATTATAATACAATACAGATACATTATATATTTGAATAATACATAATTTATAATCCAATACTCTCAACTTCATTTAATGATATTGTAAGAGCAATTTTTTTTGTACCTATAAATTAAAATGTTATATGAAACTCGTTTTCAACTGTAACTTGTATGCAAGATATTTATAATTTTATAAATCTATTGATATGTTCTTATAAAGTTAAAAAATAAATGGAATTAATATTATAATTTAATAGTTATATATGCTGGTTGATTTTATCGATTGATTCAAATTACTCCATAAATAATTTATTATAATAATGTTAGTTGATTATTTTAAACTAGGTGTGGTAGAAACCTTTCTTGCTTAAATAATCATTAAGCATCTTAAAAAATAAGCAACTAATGTAGATTTTTTATCTACTCTTAATCATTATGTGCTTTTTGTAAAAAATAATGTACGTTGTTTTTCATTGTTAACAGATAGACAAGGTCAACCTACTGAATTTTAGGATTAACATTTCATCATAATTATAGCTACAGCCTGAAATAATAATTTGTTTCAATTATATTTTCCACTAATGCTTCTATTAATTTATCATGATGATAAAAATAATAAAATAAAATCCAATCACTTATAACTGTCCTATATTTTGAGTAGTTCATTGAAATTTTTTCAGTAACTCGTCTGCCCAATCTAAGTCTTTTTATATGTTAATTTAAAATTAAAATTAAGTGTTAAATTAATTAGTAATAGTTGAGTTAATTTAAGATAACTGATTAGAACTTAATTATTCTGAATCTGATTGATTTTTCTGATTTAGGAATGTATTGAATAAAGTTTGATAATTATTTATACTTAAAAAAAAGATCAGATTTGCAATTTTCATAATAATACTTATATTACATAATTATGATACAATTTAGGATTAAAAAATGATGAGTTATTTTTCCTTGAAGCAGTTCTGAATCATCTACAATTAACATATTGTTTTAGAAATTAAAAAAAAAAAAATTAATAGTTTCATACTGTAAGTGTATATTCATAAAATCATGTAGTTGTTAAAAATTGGTTGCAACTATAATATGTTGGCTATTATATTATGTAAAATATCTTTGATAGTATACAGAAAATTCAAAGGATTTTACTGATAACTTTTACAACATACTAAAAATTATGTATACAAATCAACATATTATATCTATTGTTTTTCATATTTGTTCTAATAAATATTAATGCATTAATGACTTAAAATATAATACACTTTACAATATGAATAATGTGTATGTTTTCAACATGATTCAATTTTGAAACTATTGTACTATTTGGCATTTAATATTTTTAGTAAAATATCTCTAACATCTTCAATTGAAATTGTGCAATGAAATATATATCTAGTTCTATATCTTCTCTAAGTTTTTTAAATTAAAGTCACGATCACAGATACATATATAATAACATAAGAAATAAAATTGTAATATATTAAGTTTAAATTTTAATTACAAACTTTATAATACGTAAAGTATTGGTGGGTAATAAAAACCAACAGAGTATAAATTCTTATAAAAAAAGTCAACGTTTATTAAATTGACACCAAAATTTCAACTAAACACAAATAAATATTGTTTTATTGTTATATATATTTTGTTTCGTTAGTCAAGACTAGCAAGTGTTGTGAACTCACTAAAATGAGAAACAGGTGTTGCAACTATTAAAATATAAAATAGTTAATAAACCACAATTAATTCTTATACCAATCAACCTCATAATCAAGTAACTATGCTGTATCTGTCATAAATTTAGAACTTAGTCTATGCTGTCCATGTAATGGTATATAAATCTCAAAAGGGCTTATACTTATTTATGACGTTTGCTATAATAATTCTAGTCCTTTCATATTTTAGAATAATTAAAACAAATATAAACTAACTTGAGAATGTGTATCCAGAGACTAGAACTTGATAGAAGTTATTCTACACTGACATTTTTTTACGGTTTCATTAGACTAGAAAACACTACTGACCTTATTAATAAATAATAAACATTTTATTTATGATTATTACTATTTTATGATCTTAAAAAACCAAATTACAGAAGATTTTTGACATAGCAAAATTGTTGTCTTACAAAACTTAGAGTTATTTAAGCATTTAATGCTTAGGACTAATAACACTGTATTTATAACTGTTCAAAATTTAGTAAAAATAAATATTAAAATTAAAGCTCAGTTCTTGATCAGTCTTTAAGTATAGTGTAGCTGCTAAAATGCAGGTTCATTTTTTAAATTTTTTCACATACACAAATATTTGCTGTCACTTAACTATTGTCATTCATATGATTTATGTATGAACAGAACACCAAAGTGTATAATAGATTAGTTAATGCTAAAATTATTTATTCCACTCAACTCATTGAATAGACCATCACTTGTTAAAATAAACTGTTTATTATCACAAATAAAAACAATTATTTTCTTATGAATTTATATTTTGAATAATGCAATTTACTTAGTAAGTGTTCTTTAAAACTTATTATATTAAAATAAAACTTACATCAAAAATTAAAACGTATTTATAACTTATAAAATTTTTTTTTGGACTTCAATCAAATTAATAAGTCAATTTTAATATAATTTAAATTCAAAAAAAATTTTTGTGAAAATACAAATATGAGATTAAAAATGATTACAATGAATGTATAAAACGTAAAAATTATGAAACAATTCCTAAATTTTATATATTTTCAGTTTTTATAAATCAGATTTTAATATATGTTTAAACTGCTTTTAATTTATACATAGATATAAAATAAAATTAATATTAAATCTGATATACAAACAAGAAAAAAATATTAATATTATCAGTTCTAAATTAATACTTAAATGAAAAGATATTATAAACTCAATAAGAAGTACTGTACATTTTCTAATAGTAATATTAATTTATGAAACACTTCTATTTTTTGATTTGAACTTAAGTAAAAGTGTGCGACGAGCACGATCACGTTTTGCTTCTATTTCAGCTGGAGTGCAATATCTGGTAGTAGTTGTAGTTGTAACTTTGGCATTTCCACTTCTAAAATATACATGAAAAACAACAATAACAAAAATATATCTATGTCAAATGGAGATTAAGTTATTACCCGTAGTTATTTGTTGTTCCAATAACACTGTTGAATTGTTTAGGTTGTTGTACAGATTGTTGTTGTTTGTTAACAATTGATGACGTTGAAGTAGATCTACGCCAAAGTACAGAACTAGAGCTTGAACTACTGGTAGAAGCATGACTGCTTAAAGCTAGAAAAAACAAATATGACAAATTTACAAATCTATATTTGTTATTCTAAAATTATCTAAATGGACTACTATTTTAGTTAATCACTTCAAACTTGATATGATCAATAATTAATTTCCAAGTTAAAAGTCTAAATGTTAACTACTTTAGATCAATCTTCACGAAAGGTTTGCATGCATTTTTATAAATTAGCCAATTTATAAAAATGCATGCAAAAAAAAAAAATGCTATTCAATTTAAATTAAACACTATATTATGAAATTTTGAGATATTTTTAAATAACATTTTAGAATGTTAAATTAATGAAAATTACATTAATACATATATGTCTTGCTATTTATTTAAAGAAATAAAATTTTAAATGGTTACAAAAATCTAAAATGTCTCCTTATTTCTTTAGTTATACGAATGTATAATAAATATAAATATGTTATTTATTATACACAAAATATTTAATTATTCCATATCTAAATTCTTAGTGAATACTAACTAGCTAATAAAAATATGCCTATCGAGTTTTTAATTAATAATATGTTTAAGTTAGTGTTTATGTTTGAACCAAAGAATTTATTAAAACCCTTAATAAAAATAAATTATAATTCTTACTGATCTTCTGATCTTTCATAAGAAACATATTAAAATACCTGGTTTATTTTCCAATTGTTTATCAACATTTGTACTTGGCTGTTTATAACAATTTTGAGTCGCTAATACAGTAGTATTTTCTTTAACACCAGCCATAATTTGCTGCTCAATTTCCAAAAAATCAATACCCGAAAAAAAGTCATCGTCATTGGCCAAAATATCAAAGAATGATGACGAGGAATCATCTTTCTTACAATTTTCAACAGATGTAGAATCTGAAGATAAGCTATTATTTTCTGTACTAGAAGTTATTGTGTGGCACGGTGATTTACAATTTTTTTTCTGTTCTTCACCAAATAGTTTGCTTTGTACTGGTTTGAACTTTTTGGAAACATGGTGATATACATTATTATTTGTTGAATTGTTGATATCTTTCAATGGACTTATACCATTAATCGACAAAGAATTTGATGCAATTAATTTAGTAGGTTCATTAATAGTACTATTACTTTTAATAGCATCAGCAGCTATTTTTTGTTCAATAGCTTGACTACACAACATCATCATTTCGTCATCAGCAGAGTCATCTAATGAACATCCAACATTATTATTTTCTGTTGAACTGTTTGCAGAAGAACTAGCTTCCATTTTAGCTTTCATTAACTGTCTATTTTTCTTTTTGGCACCTAAAATACAACACAACCAAAATTTTTATTATGTATAATTTACTATTCAATATAATTTTAAGAATTAAAAAAAAAATTCTATACAAACAAAATGTAAACTTAAATGAGTAACTATATTACTTACTAAGACAATTCAATATACACTCAAGATAATTATTCAACTCCTCATGAAGAGCAGTCTGATTTGGACTTGTACAATTAGTTGGTGAAGGTGAATCAGTGGTTGAATTAAAATAATTTGATCTAAAGAAAGATCGATGATAGCGTTTAGAGAATGATCGTCTTTTTTTATTCCTTCTTGATTTCTTTTCAGGAACTAAACAATCAAATCAGATTTAAAACAAAAATAATATAATTCCTTTAAAATAATAATAAAAAAAAAAATAATAGATAGTATTTACTTAATAAAAAATGTTTTAAAATCTAAAATGATTACAAATTAAAATTGTTATTATATTAACTTTATTATAAACTACACTTAAAGACAATAGATGAAAATTTTAAAGATGTATTGTATTTATTAATAATGTATACAAAATTATCTTTGATTTAATAATAAAAAAATTATCAACTAACATAAATATTAATGTTTATACTCCATTGTTATATTAAAACACATGTAATAAAATAAATGTAGGCAATAACTTGATAAATATTATATTCTATCATTAAATTTAATTAAAGATTCAAAAAGGATAAGTAATTTTTTCTATAGACTATAACACTGTTAAACTAATTATTTTAAATAAGATATTACATATATATTATTCTTACCACAATCATCGTCTTGAAGATCAGGACAGTCAAATCCGTCGTCCCAACCAATACGCACACCTCCCAAATCATATTCATCAGGAGTCCTCCTATAAATTGGGATAAGATGTGGAAACTTTGGGCTTTCCGTGTCATCTGATTCATCGTCATCACTGTAAAATGTTGATCGGACTGGTGTCTTTGGACTGGGTAAGGCTAGTCAATACAGAAAAATAAAGGACATATGTTAGATAAAAGTACCATTAATTATAATGATGTCTCCATCACTTGACATCAAATGTAAAATAGCAATAACATAGAATATTGTAGTGATCAGCAGGTAGTTATATAGAATATGAATGTTGTATACAAACACACAGTTGGCACTGGTTGAAGTCACCTCGAATTTAAAAGAGACTTGAATATTTGTTTTGAATATAGAAAAAAATATCTGAGCAATGAGCAATGATTATTTATTTTTATTAATATTTTAGTAATTAATCTATAGAATTAAAATATTTGAATTTTTGCCTCATAAGACTGGTTAATGTTCACAGAGATGAGAATAAAGAATGTTGCCTTTAGTAATATGTGTTAGGATCATACCTCTCAGCGGACTAGAAGTTGTAGCGTCATCTTTTTGATCTACGTCGAGATGCCACGGTTTCGATTTTTTCGGTGTCCCCATAATATACTTTCTTGTTTAAAAGTGCGTTGCGTTATAGCGAAGAACTAGTATAAACAATACTTTAACAATGATAAAAACAAAAGAAACAACAAGTTTTAATCTCAACGTTTCGAAAAAAAAAATTCATTCAAACATCTAATAATTCTAACCATGGAGTACTAAACATTCAAACAACAAGTAAAGTAAACGACATTAAAAAAAAAAAAAAAACGTGTTTTTCGGTTCAAACGCCAGCACAGACCACAGCGCTGAGGGTAAACAATATGATTTCCCATAGTCCGTTACAAAACTGGGCATAAAAATGTGTTGGTGATGACGTGCGTGTGCGTGCGCCAGTCAGAGAACGCATCGCTACCGTTCGTTCAGCGATGCAACGATACGCAATGGTCGAATACTCGAAAACGAATCGAAGGCATTAAGCGTATCAATTACCTACCTCCATGCACGTGAAGAGTCATTACTCGTTTACACAATATTATTACTTATTTTACCAGCAATTATCAAGCTCCTAGCTATTTATTATCTACTAGTAAGAAAGCACCACAGTGTACACAAATGAGCTATTAATTTAGTAAATTATTTTAACGGTATGGCTAGCCGCCAAGGCTATCATGGTAAAATATTTTAAATTTTTATTCGCTAGTGACTAGTCCATGGTCACGTATAGTTGTTCCACTAGTTCACCATCTCTACGTGTACCTACATTTAAATAATATTGTTTCATTTAACTAGCAGCACTTATTAATCATTATTATCTTAATACATGCCACAGTAACAACTGGGAAGTCGGTTATCTTAGAAATTTAGAACCTTAGAATTAATTATACATGCTACCATAGCAGTAATTAATACTAAACGAATTATGAAAATCGTAACTGCTGACTGGCACCCGGACCCGGTAAATCTCTGCAGTGGTGCAGTGCAGGCGTGCAGCTGCCGAACGCTGAAGTGTGCTGGGCTGGCAGCTGGCACGCCGGGTGAAAACCCGTGTGCGACGTGTACTACTGCGAGTACAATTATTATTATGCGCGCGCGGTTATTATCGTGCGCTCGCGCGATTATTATCGTACGGTCGTGCGATTTATAACCGTGCTATTATCGGATTGAAATCGGGTTGGGCACTCTATTGTAGCATGTAGATGCGAGAATACGCACGAACGCCGACGTCAGCGGTGGGAGGTGGTGGAAGGACGGCGACGATACCGCCGCGCCGACTTACCGACAACCGCACGCTCTGCAACATGACCCGACTGGCGTGGGAAATGGGAATGTGGGATACTGGGATAATATTGAACGAAAACGGTGGCGGTGGCGGCGGCAGCCGAATATTGATGCGCGTCCGCGGCGCATGGCGATAAACCACCGACGCCGTACGCCGCCGTCGCCGCCGCTGCCGCCGCCTACACCGCCGGCTGGAGGCGGCGCACGCGCCAGACGGTCGCCCGTGATTTATGAGCTTAGCGCGGGAGGCACCAGCCACCAGCCAGTACGATTGGGCGACGACCGACCGAGGTGGTGTTTTGCTGATCTCAGACGGGCGCCGGACGGAAACGTTTTACATCTCTCGCACACGAATACACTCAATCGTTTCGGCGGTCCGTACGTCGTTTAAGTATCTCTGTCGTACTCTCTCGTACTACTATACTAGTCATTCTACTCGACTCGGCAGCAGCGGTGGTGTCGCAGCGGATCGGCAGATAACCTCGTCGTAGGTAATGCATTTTGTGTAGACCTACGCTCCGTACCTAGATCTTAAATAATTGATTTCGGCCGAAAATCTAGTCCACTCTTGTGGTAGCCAGTATTTAACACGTCGTGGTGCACCGCGCGTATCGACATAATATTATATATTACGATTTATACATAGGTATTATATATATGTATAGATTCAATTTGCGTCCCGCCTAAATCAAACGTCCCGATTTCAGCATTTATTTGAATAATTGTTGAAAGCCTTTTACACCTATACCTGACCTACCTATCTTTAGTACACGCCGTATACTCGTGTTTTAATACTTATTACTTGATAGGTACTTAATATGTTGTACTACATAATACTGTCGAAAATCTTGAACAGGTTTCAGTGAAGGTGCACCGCCGTGCGTAAATACAATCCGCGATAGAATGTTGTCATAATGATAGTTATTAGTTAATAAGAATCAAAATATTACTACGTCAGCGTAACATCTATCCGTGCGCTCGAGGACGGATCGTAAACATAATAACGATTTACGATATATATATATATATATTTTTTTTTTTTATTTTTTAGGGCTTTAGGTGTTCTGCTTTTCGATTTACGTTTTTTTCTACGTTCTCTTGTTTCTTATATTGTTGTATTATTCGTCGTATATACCACAATATATTATAATATCATATAATATACCTACGCATTTGTCAATTATACCTAATTGTACTGATCGTTAATTATATCGAGTCTATAATATATATATATATATATAGATACCTATACGACAACGATGGTTTTAAATTGTTTATTTAGTATACACGTGTATCGTGTACATAGGGTGTATGTTTTTATAATTTTTATTAATCATTATTCATTAGTAATGACTCGTTACAGCAGTAGTTTCATATTTGCTCATAAATTATTGTTAAATACTCCTAATATACCCTGTATGTACGTATCATCAAACTTATGAGCGATAATATTATTATTATTAATTTTATACATCTGGTGCGCGTAGGCAGCGATCCGTAGATAGAAATTTCGTATAATTATTATTTCTTTTGTCCTATTCCCGTTCTGTGGTAAATTAACTCGATGGCACAGCAGGCGGAACGTGCTCTATTTACCGAACAAATTATTTTTTTGATATGTGCCGCCATAGCGTTTAAAAAAAACTACTAGATAAATAGGTACGCATTGCGTAAACTGTGATGAATTCTTTTATGCAATACATATATATTGAATATTATAATATTATTAAATACCTAATACAAAATAGATAGGTAGGTAATAACTAGGTAATGAGAAAGTATAATATTGATTAGTGATTACATATCGTTATTACGTTTGACATTTTTAGATATTTATATTCATATCACGTATAATACGTATGTCGTTTATCTTGTAAAAATATCATTAACAGCAGATTTAATGATTATTAACTAGCGTTTCACATTAGCGTCTCCGACCAAATAAATTATATTCCTGTCGTAGGTGTATAATAGAATATAAAAAACTTCATCATTATCTCTATCATTTTCTTCTCGTCTTCAGATTCTTTTAATTTTGGAATATCATACTATCACACTCCCAATATATAAGTACTTATTATACCTTGAATAAATATTCATATTAGTTTTTTTTTTTTTTTTTAGTTAAAGATTTTGCAATGAAAATGTTGTTATTATCGGATGTATTGACAATGTTATAGGTTACTGGACACGTTAAAAATATATGCTTAGTACATCGGTTTTTTTAACAAATTCTCATAATTTATTCAGTTTATAACCAGCGCCCATATAGCTATTGAGTTAAAACATTCGTTTGCGATTTATTTAGTGTGGATATTAGATTTTAAAATTATAAAATAAATTAATAATATACCTACTGTTTTATATTGTCTGCTTAGTTATTAATATGGATTAAAATGATATTTAAATATTAATAAAAACTAATGCTGATGTCACTTAGTGCGTATTTTTATTATCTTGATATTGAATAATGAATTCATGTTTATAAACAAATGGACCAAATTAGTTAGGTATTTGTAAATATCTTTTTTTAGTTTTCATTTTACTGCAGCTGATTATGTTGTCATATGTATAAATCATAATAATGACAATTACAAATATCGTAGATGGTAAATAATGCAATTTTTAATTATAATTTTACATTTTTATTTAGTTATAAATATAGTATTTAATATTTAGTTACACATATTTTTTTTATTATAATTTAAAAATGTTTGAGAATTTAGAATAATATTTTTTGTGGTTTCACCGGGGCCAATATTAATAAAACTTTATCTAAATATTTTTCTCCAATTTCTTTATCAGTTAACTTAATTCGTCAAATTGCATGATATTCATATTATTTTTATTATGTGTATAACTGCGTGAATATTCTATAGTATAGAAATATACTATAGAATAATACTTATCCGGAAACTATGGAGATAAAGTTGCATCAATTACTCATTATTGGAGTAGGCGTCTATATTCATCGTAAACTTCTCTCGGTTTGTTTTCGTTTACATTTTCCGTTTTCATTATCCAGACAACGTAATGCAACAATAACGTGCAACATAGGTACTTACAAACATAGAAGGGTGCGGCGGCGTTTATGGGTCAAGGTTGTATGACGCCCCTGCCGCTCCGACGCTTGGTATATATATCGCACACCAGCCATTTAAAATGGCTGTATCAAGGGACTAAGCCACTGTAAAAAGATCGGAATCGATCCTGCTATTAAAACATTTTCTTGCCCTTAAATAATTGTGACGTGGTTTTAATATAACAAAAGCTTGAGTCTAAGATTTTTTGTTTTAAAGTGGACCAATATTTTTGCCATTTTATTTATTCTTCTCCTCCTCTTCTTCTATTTAAATACGAGTTCTCGATAGTAAACTACTTGAATTACAGAGGTAGGTATTTATAAAATAATTTATTTAAAACCAAACACATCAATATATCTTTATCGTACTTATCTATATATATTAATTTGCTTGAGTAGTTAACTTTTCGAACTATAAAATTACCTATTAAATTAAATATAAAAGCATAATATTGTCATTTAAAAATTTCAAATAACGTTTGCTTTGTTGATAATAATATAGCTGTTCCTATGTTTTATAGTATATAATATTATTACGAAAATCGATATGGATGCATCATATATTAATATGTATTGTGCCCATCAGAATCACGATTATTTTAATATGACTATCGATTATAAAAACAGCCGAAAAAAATTGTTTATTTCGAAATGAGTGTTATTCATAAATTATAACTGATAGAACAACGAAATATTTTTTGACGCACTAAGTTAAATGATGTAGGTATGCAAGTGTTAACCTTCAACTATCATAATACTGTATGACCAGAACAAATGTAATTTTTCGGGAGGGGACAAACAGATACAACAATTCAGCACAGATTTTTTACCAAATAAATATTTGTGTAGTACGATTTTGTAAATCAACCTTAGAATTCATATGTTTTATTCATATTCTCAAAACATAAAAACAAATTTTTGTTCCGTTTGTCAGTAGAAATATTTAATACTTAAAATTATTTATGTATTAATTTACTTTAATTAAATTCTTTATTCGAAGGTATTTATCGTGGTTCTTTTCCGTAATCAATCTTTATACTACATACGTATATTTTAATTGAGACTAAGATCTATTTTATTTCACTCGAGTATTCTTGCATGGTTTTTAAATAAAGTTATTAAATACATACGTAGTATATTAATTATATGATAATTGATAACTATAAATTATTATTTTAAATCATATAAATTATAGAATTGTGTAAATTTAATATCTCAATATTTTCTCCATTTTTACTATAATATTTACAATTTATAACGAACACAATATAAACCGTGTAAACTGGAATATTAAAGTCTTTGTTACTTACCTATATACAAATTTACTGATATTCATTAATCGGTTATATTGTTATCATTCAATATCCAATAGTGGTATCAGCGATATTGCGATAGCTATCTTTGTGTTATATAACTGTGCCGAGTGACTGAGTCAGAACACAGGATAATGACCGAGTTCATTCGATGATATTTCCATTGTTGATGTATTGACATTAATTACCTAATAATTATTTCAGTGTTTATTTACCAAATAGAAATTTAATGATAGTAATTAAAATATTTAAATGGTGACATTTATAAATTTATCAATATATTTTATTAAAAAAATCACAATGTATCCAATTATTAATAGTTAAGAAAATTATATAAATATTTAATGCAATATATTCTTTTTGCATTTTATTTATTAAGAAACAATTAACTTTATTTAAAATTGAAAGTAGCATGACTATATGTATAATATTTTTATAGAACTGAAGTAAAACTAAAAAAGAATCATCTCAAAAAAAATTCAACCATGCCTGCACCAACAAAATCAAATGCAGCGATGTCACCAGATGGTGGAGCACCACAACCAACTGTACCAAAAACTGAACTTCAAGAACTACAAATGAAAGCTGGTGAAGTAACAGATGAAGTGAGTTAAGTTTTCCTTTATTTCTAACTTCTAAGTCTATTAACATTATAAATATACTTACATAATTTTTTTTTTTACCATTTAAATTTAGTCACTTGAAAGTACCAGAAGAATGCTAGCTCTGTGTGAAGAGGTAAGATACTATTTAAAAATTATTTAGTATAATATATTTAACGAACCTTTATTTTAACTTGCTAACTATTTAAAATATATATTGTGCAATAATCATTATTTTTACTTTTAATTCTTATTTGTGGAAACCTAAAAAATTCAGAAGTGTAAATATTTATATTGAATTATAATGCTTAATTTTCTAAGACAAAAATATTGTTGACAAAAAATATTTACTATTTTTGAATTTTATAGTACTGCAATAAAATATTTTAATACCTTATAAATAACATGTTAACTAAATTACGAGGATAATATAATAAATATTGTTCTCGTATATTTTCTTTCATTAAATCCGATATTAACACAATCATAAATAAAATTATATTTATAGGTGTGAGTGTAAAATATAACATATATTATATTTTTGTATAATAATAAAGCTACTGGTGCTGCTTACTGCTGCTGCTGCTGCATGTCGGTGTGTGTTTGTCTTGTGCATTATTTGCTTGTTACATTCTCAAATTTAAAATTGATAAAATTCTTCAATTTTCAAACACATGTGAATTATTTGTTTAGAAAACAATAATATTCATTAAAATACAAGTTAACAAAATGCCAACTCATACAAATACATACTAATATAAAAAATGTAAAATAATATATTTCAACGGTTTATTGAAACAAACATATATTATATTTCTTAACAAGTATAATACAGAGTTTCAATAACTCAGGAGTCCACAGAAGAAATTTTATATTTAAAAAATATAAAAACATTTGTGTAAACTCTTAATGAATTGATCATTAAACTATTTAAATAATTTCATGTTACATTCAAGTATATTTATTAATTTAATTTTAATTTTTTATTGGTTTTTACACTGACTAATTTATTATTTTGAAAAATAATATGTAACAAGTGTTTTTTGGTTGAAATACAATTTAAAATACCTTCAGTGTATGGTTAAAGATCTATACAACGGGTACTAAAAGATTACCAAAATATAGCAGCTTTTAATAAGTGGCTTCTCTTTAACTACAATTGTTAATTGTACAACACTTGACATGACTAATAAGTGATTATTATACTAGTACTATATGTCGACAATCTGAGTTATTGATACTTGGCTAACACCTGTATATATATATGTTTAATATAAAATCATTCATTTAGATACTTTATTCAATGGCATATAATAAACATTGTTACAAAGATAAATAAATCAAAATAAATGTATGCTTAAAACTTATAAAAAAAAATCATTTTAGTGTGTACCTACTTAAAAATTTAATATTTTGTTCCTAATATAATTTAACACATAAAAAATATTATCATAAATATTTATCGAAGTTATAATGTTCATTATAGACTGTTTTATGTATATTTATAAGAAAAATAAGTATTAATTTTTCACATCGGACTATTTAGTTTTTAAAACTATTAATTAGCAAGTATGAATACATATATTTACTGTAAGAACCAATTTACACACATTATTAACAGAAATAAACTAATAAAAACTTAACTATACACAAGCAAATACAAAGTATATGAATAAACTTTTAAAATTTTAAACATTTTTAAAAATAATACACACCAGAATTGATTTATACAAAAATAAATAGGTTACACTATCTCTCATATAATGTTATTATTATTGGTTTTTTTTCTGTCACACGCACACCACACGATCACCACCACCTACCACCACCATCACTACTACCACTCTTCTACTTTCAAATACTACAATCATAGAGCAAGGAGGCTGGAATAAGGACATTAGTTGCACTCGATGACCAGGGAGGTGAGTTGATGTTCTTGTTGCTGCTGCCGTTGCCGTAACTACGGAATCTTGTCTACTTTTAAAGGATACAATATCATATACTCACATACATATATACATACATAAACACCTATACACCCAAATATACAGTGTACACATATAAATATCATAATGGTTCACTACAAAGTGCACGCGCGCTACTCACATTGTGTGTCAAATTGATTTTATTTTTAAGTTATTAAAAATAAACTTTATAATGATAAATAATAATGAGCATTACCGGCGGTGGTAATTTTTGTCTATCCACCGTCCGTGTTTCACTAAGCACTAAAATCACAGATTCACAGATATTAATAAAATTACATAGCTAATATATTTATAATTTTTCATTTATATATATCTCATTGATCACAACATCACTACACAAACACTAATAAGTATTAACACCAAAATATGAAAGGAAAAAAATTGCATTCATGGGCTTTAAATCTGTTATAAGGCAAGGGTCTAATCAGTGATTTTTTTTGTATAGTTCAGTACAATGTATATTTACTTAATAAAGTTACCTTTTATAATTATGTCTTACAAGCTTGATTTGTTTTAGATACAAAATTATTTAAGGTTTAATAGATACTAAAAAAATATTTTTGTTTGGTAATTAATAATTTTATATAGTAATAAATATTTAAAATGGTCATTTATTTTTGCTATACTAACATTTTTTTATTTTTTTATTATTTTGCTTCTATACACTACTACATTTTTTTTATTTTATTCCATATTGTGTACTTAGCACTCATTTTTGATTTTTATATTTTATTTGTAGAGTGTAGATGTTGGCACAAAAACCATAGAAAATTTGCACATACAAGGCGGTAAGACATGTTGCCTAAGGTTATTTTATTAAATTGCTTTTAATTTTATACTGCATAAACTCCCTGTATTGTGATGTTCTAATTTATAGAATATATCTTAAAGCAAATAATATTATGATAGCATATTATGTAATTTGAAAAATAAAAATATTATTTGGGGTTTTGTAAATCATATAATAAATCTAAGATATGTATGTAACTGTTTGTAGAAATTTAAACTACAAACAACCATTTTCATTATTTAACCATTGTATATTTCATTCCTTAAGATTTAAATATTTGACGTTTTTCCTCGTTTTGCATAGCATATTATAGTAGTAATTAAGTTGTTGTGTTGTTGTTATTGTTGACTTGTTGTTGTTGTATGAATTCGGCATAATTTTTTTTGTTTGTTTATAAAACCTTAATTGTTGAATGTTGATTATTATTTGTCCTGTTATACTTAAATTACATAATTCATATTGTATATCATTTTAATTCAATCGTCTTAGACATAACATTATAAAAATAATAGATAGATATAAATCCCTGTAGAAGTTTAAAATACATTTAATATTTATACATATTTTTTATATTTATATATATTTTAGATAGAAGACATTAAATATAAAATATACATCGACACACTATTTTGATCATTACGACAAAGGCTTTGTTGTCGGTGATTATTGTTGTTGTTGTTTTTTTTTTGTGTAGAGCCATGAAGTCGGGATGAAATCTCTTGTGATGTTGGATGAACAAGGGGGTAAGAGCTATGAAATAAAAAAACCGAGTTAACAAACAAATTATAAAAACAAAAATATTAATGGTCAAAATCTGAAACGTGATAAATGCTATCGAGTTGGATTTTATTATTCTAAAAATATTTGTAATTTTCTTATCATCCTTAAATATAATTGAATATTGTCGATGGAATAAAATAATAAACAACTTTGATTTATGATACAATTAAATAAATATAGTTGATTGCTAATATCTAATAGAACATTTAAGGCTATTTACATTTCACTACTAAACTTCATTATTTTATTGAGTATTTAATGTATATCTAATAGCTTTAATTTAAATTTTTCAGTGGCGTATTAAGATCTATGACATGGGCATATTTTAGAAATTGTTAAAATTAATATAAAATTAATAAATCTAAAATATGATTTGCAAATCATATTATAATTTAAAAATAGAACTTTTATTATATTTGTATGTTAGATAAAATTAACAAAAATAATTTGAAGGTAATTGATGTTTTTTTGATTGAAAATCAATATAATTAAATTTATTAAAATTAAACATCTACGTACGTCACTGAGCTACTATTATAATCTATTGATGTCAAAAATTAACGAAACAACAACATAATTTGTACGAAATAAGAAAATGTATTATTTAAATACAAATGCGAATCTGAGGAAACGTTTTAAATGCAAAATTAAAACAATATAATAATTATTTAATAATATAATACTGCCGGTAATGTTCTTTGATATGAACATCCTATTTTTAAAGCCGATTATTATTTATTCATAAATTTTAATTTAAATTTAAACTTAATATTCTTAAACATTTTGTTTATGAAAAAATTGCGCGTTTAGTTCAGTCTAATTATCACATTTATAGGAGAAATCACTACACACAAAAACAATAAATATATACACTTTTGTACAACTCTATTATTCAAATTATAAATTATTATTTGTATCTAATATATTTTTTTATTTGTGTGTGTGTGTGCGCTACGCATGTGTGTATGTGTGTGTGAAAATTTCAAAAACCATAGAACAATTGGACAGGATTGAAGAAGGTATGGATCAAATTAATGCTGACATGAAAGAGGCAGAAAAAAACCTGACTGGTATGGAAAAATGTTGTGGAATATGTGTGCTGCCTTGTAACAAGTATGTTAAAAAATAACAATTAATATTTTTATGTATATTGAATTTTATTTGTTTAATCATACTAATGTATTCTTAAAAGGTCAGCCTCATTTAAAGAAGATGAAGGTACGTGGCGAGGTAATGATGATGGTAAAGTGGTCAACAACCAACCACAGCGTGTAATGGATGAACGTAATGGAATGGGTGCCCAAGGAGGTTATATAGCAAAGTATGAACTTTTTTATTAGTGAAAATTATTAAAAAATTTTAATTTTATAATTTGCTTACTAACATTATAATTCTACTAAACCATACAGTTATACTAAGCTTGTTTGTTGTGCATAAATATATACCTGTTTAAATTAAAATTTAAAAAAAATAAAGGAAAGAAATTTTAACATTTTTATATTAGTTGCGAGTTAATTCATTAAATATTAATAAATAAATCATAAAATTATAAACACCATTTATTTTGATATTGTTTATATTTTTACTTACAATTAATGGCTATAGCTATTTTGTAGGATATGTTATGTAAAATATTTCATGTTTCTATGATTAATAGAATAACAAATGATGCTCGAGAAAATGAAATGGAAGAAAATATGGGTCAAGTTAATACTATGATTGGAAATTTACGTAATATGGCGTTGGATATGGGAAGTGAATTGGAGAATCAGAATAGACAAGTTTCACGAATAAACATGAAGGTATTTTTTGGTTTTTTTATTTTGATTAATTTGTTGGAATTATTTATTTAACTTATTTTAATTTAATTAACTAAAATTTTTCTAGTTAACAGAACACTTATTTTTGATATATTCATAGCATACCTGTATAGAATAATTTGTAAATTATTAAAATATAATTTTTAAATTTCTTCAACATTTTCAAAACAAATAAGATTTATTTATTAATAAAATCAAAAAAAGTATTCGTGGTTGTTAATATTTTTATTTTATTTTACAATTTGTATTGTTTAGGCTGGATCTAATGAAACAAGAATTTCAGTAGCGAACCAACGAGCACATGAACTGCTCAAGTAATTTGATATACAAAATATAGCTAGGACAACAGCTATTATACTACTACAGCTATTTGTTTTAGTTTATTGCTACAGCTATCAGAAATATAATTTTTTTTTTTATTTGATAATTCTTTAAATTGTATTTATAAAAAATATATATAATTTATTAATCATGAATTATTGTTATATATTATTATAGCTATAAATATTTTACATACATTTTTATGTCTTATTGATTAATATAAAATTAGTTAGTTTAATAAATTTTAGCTTTTTTTTACTATTAATTGTTAATATTGTTTAAGAATAAAAGGCTGGCAGCAAATTTGGTTACAGAGATAAATAGCTGTGTTATGTGGTCCAACAATTAAATTTCATTTACTGTTAATTTTTTTTTTTTTAGTTTAACTATCATTAATATTAATACTATTATTAGGATTAAATACAGCAATAATATTTAGAAAGATCCAAAATACCTTGGTAATTCTCATTAAACTTATCATGTATGTAAACAATTCAATTTTTAAGGTATTAAAATAATTAATCAAATCATTAATAATATTTTTATTAATGATATTTAAAAATTTAATATTTATTATTGTTAATTCTTGAAGCAAATATCAAACTATTAATTCATAGCGTGATATAAAATTAATTATAATTTGTGGAAAAAAAGTAATATTTGTTGCCTATTCTCTACATAATAATATAATACATAATTATACACCAAATTTTTATTGATATATTATTAAAACAATTGAAATTTTTTTCGCATATTTATATTATATAAAATGTTTGTATATTTAATTACTGAAATAATACATCTAGTACAATATTGTTTACATTAGACTGCATAATGAAAGTGCACTTGCGTATTATCATTAATTACCTTAGAAAAGTGCAATACATGTTTTATACTTTTGTCATAGCTCAAAATATTACCACATTGTGCTTAATGTGCATTGTTATTAAAATTAATTCATATTTCAATAATTATTGATTTTTGGTTTATTGGTGTGTGTGATTGTTATAACACAGTTATGATATGGTTAAAAACGTTGTTATTTTGTATAAATAATATTTAATTAGATTTAAAATTGTTAGTGTAATTTTTCTTTATAATAAAAGTGATAATAAACTAGACTAAATTAAATTTTTTTATTATTGAACCTATTAATTAATTTCCATAAAATTAATTATTGATTTTCACAAAATTTTCTCTTTAATTATTTCATTAACAATATATATCATTAAAAAAATTGGTTATATTTTATGAAAATTGATTATTATAACTTTTAAGTATAATTAATATGTAATGAACATAAATTTTCTTTTAAAATATTCATAAACATATCTTCATTTACATGAAATTAATATCTATCAGTTTCAATAAATAATAGGTATTTTAATAACATCTATTATTTCTTCAATTCTTTGTACTGTTATTTCATTTTTTTCTTAACATTAATATATTTTATCGCTGTATACGTTTTTACCTTTTAGTTTCAAAATATTAGTGTAAGTATAAAGTTAAACATGATTAAAATATTATTTACTGTTTATTATTGATATTATTTACTAGGTAGTAGTAGTAGTTATTCTCAACTTGCTTTGTTATACTGTTATACGTTAAAATCTTTCATACTTGTTAGTATTTATTTTAAAATTCTTATCACTTAAAAAAACTTATAATAATAATATTATACACAGAAATATTCATTCACGTCTTAAGTGATAATCGAGTTATAAAAAAAAACTGAATATACTTAAATACGTGTCAATTAAATTTTACAAAAACAACTTATTGAGTTACATAGGTATTTTGATAAATTTGTTTATTAGTTTATTTAGAAAATAAAATTACTGATACCTGTGATAGATCTTATTATTTTTCTTTAAAGAAACTATATAGGCTAAAACTTATTATCATAAGTCTTGAATGTATAATTATTAAATACACAATTTTTCTTTTATCGGTACCTATTTAAAAGTTATCATTTCACAAATTGTTCCATAAATTGAGTTGATTACATTAAAGTTTAAATAAATAGTGGGTAGGTATTTAGTATTATTTACATTGTTGTTGTGTACCAACTATTTACAATTGTAATTTAACATTATTTTAAAATTTAAATATATACTTACTTTTATCAAAAGTACATTTTATTTTACGCATTATTATATAACTTTCTTCGTTAATATGTTTGATTGTATTATTTTATAAGCATTTATTTTAATATAAATATTATTATAATCTTTTTATCTAAATGCACCTGTAAAATATTATTTAAAACAATTACTATTAGACGTTTACTATTATACTATTATGAAATTTTCATCTGTAATCTATATATTAATATCTATTATCTATCTATCTTTGAGTGTGTAATAACTTCAGTATCTTATATTCATTATCTATCTATACTATGCAGTCTGCATGTAATCTTAAAAAAATAATTACATTATTATATTGTGTTATAAATTTTAATTTGTTGGTTTTTTATAGAAAAAAAAAACACACAATTAACATATTTCCGTGAACCGACATAGTATGCATGAATAGGTATAATATTTCATCATTATCATAGCTATAAAGCAACTTATTTAGCAATCACACATTTTTTCTTTGGCTTGTGCTATTGCTTGAAAGCTGGAGCGTATAACACGTTTTTAAGACAGGCCTACAGGAGGCAGAATTGACTAACATAAATTAAATATGTTACCTACCTACTCATAATCAATAGGTACCCTTTTTTAGATTATCGATATTTATTGCAGCGATTCATTCTGCGTCTACGCCGTAGTTTTTTATGTATACTGTATAAAGTAACAAAGCACGTAGCATATACCTATCTATTTGTGCGTCAGGTGCGTCATTGTAATAGAGTATGGGACGTGGTGTGTAATCGCATAAACTTTTATTATAATTTTTCATAAAATGTATTATTTTGCCCGCCAAAAATAAAACAGAAGTACTGATATGCCTTTAAAATCCTCATATTGGATATTATATATTTTTATTTTTTTACTTTTAAATAGGAGGTACCTGCCCTACTTTATAGACTGGGCTCCTACTACCAGAGACGATATAACCACGACGACTAATGATCTGCTGTTCTGTTTACAACCGTGTTTAGTAGTGTTTGTATTGAATACAATTACTGCAATAATTAGACACAAATTATAATAAATAATCCTAATATAAATCCAAACAAATTAAAATAAGAAAATTTGTTTATAATTCTGATTTAAGTAATCTTTTTTTTCTAATACCTAACTAATGTTATTGTTTTTACAATTCGGTTCATCTGATCGGTTTTATTTCGTTAAACTTAATTAATTGATGAAAATACATGATAAGTAGGTGATATAATATAATGGCCTAGTAATGATTTAAAAATTTAAAAATAGTCTGCAGACATTATTTTTGGCACTAATATAATTTAATTGAAATTACGTCCCCTATGTGCGTTTGATATTACGAAATATTTAAGTTTTGTTTACATGAGGTACTTCACAACTTAACTATATAATAGGTACCAGAGGCGCCGAACTAATTTTCTTAGGTGTGGCAATGAACAATTATTTATACTCATCTACTTCTACCGGGATTAAACTCAAGTCGTGAGAGAGCAAAACCCACCCACCCTCTGCCAATATATTAAATTACAAAATATTATTTTCACAAATTATATTATTTAGTATTTACTGATTAATATTTATATTTTTGGATTATTTTAATATTATTTATATTTTTACCTGTCCGTGTATAATAATTAAAACTGTATAATCGTTCAATATTTTTATAAATATTTTTTAACATGAATAAAATATTTTCTTTGTTTGTCATTTAATTAGTATAATATTTTTTTTAGTACAGAATAGGTACTAGGTACTATATAATATGATGTAAAAATATTAATAACTGAGTCAGGGTCAACAATATCATAATCATTAACGCATGATATTAACATAAGTGAATCCAAATTATCCAATCATTCTTCTGCCATTGTACTTTTTAATTTACTTTTAATTAGTTTTGATCTTAAAAAGTCTCGTCCTGGTGATGAACTTAATACAAAATACATTAAATCAATACTTAATGATGTATAAAAATTAAAAATGGTAATTTTGCGAACTTATTTTTTTTTTGTATTTTAATAATAACTATATTAGGTATCGTATGTGTAATGTGTTTTTCACTCCGTGTCTCTGTATAGTCTACAAAGGACACCATAAACTAGTTGTAGCCGCTGCTGTAGATTTATAAATTTATTATGAACTATTGATTATTACTTATAAGACTAGGTATTAATTAAATAGTTATTTGATTTTTCTAACGTACCTAATCACACAGTGCGCTACGACACTCTAAGAATAGACTAGTCATTCACGTCATTTGCAATATTATATCTCCTGTTCCTTATATTAATTGTAAAAGTATACTATGTCTTGTACTCAAAAACAATCAATGCTAGGAGATATACCTACTCCTTAAATAAGGTGACAGCCGCCACACCTAATGTATTACAAGTTTGGCACCTCTGATAATATGTAGGTACTCTTGGTCTACACGGTTGTAAAAATCATTAAATAAATTAATATATATATATATAAAATGGCTTATGTTATATTTTTTTTTATATATATCATAACACTAATGGTTGCAATAATAATAATAACAATAATTATGATTTCATTATTATAACAGAGTACAAATGGTGATGACTGATGACTTACTGCGGTGTATACGCATGCGTGTATAGATGATGCCGCGATATGTAGTTGTGCGTAAAATTACGATGACATCTATAAAGTCGCACTGTCATAAATTTTAAATTACACATGTATATATATATATATATATATATAGGCAAGTATTTACCGTTTTTAAATGTACGTATTACAATTGTATGTATATGGTATGCGTGAATGATGTATTGTATAATATTATAATATATTTATATCATTTTATATTTTTACGCTAAAACGCGACTTTGGTTCTGCTTGCCGTTTTGTATGCCGCTCAAGGACGTCATCATGGACATCGTGTTGGTAAAATACTTATTCAGTTTCTGGTTGAGCTTCTTATCCTTGAGGAGCTTCTCAACCTCGTTCCAGTACGTCTTGCAGAACAACGGGGCCCTGGGTTTGTTCACGGCCGTGATAATCAGCCCACCAGTTTTATTGACGATATCTGGCATCAAGTCAGAGGTCAATAACGCGTACGTCATCGAAATGAGGTTGGTGATCCCGGAGCCTATCTTCTCCTCACTGCCCTTGGTCAATAGTACGTGGATGGTGGTGACCAACATGTTGATCATGTCCGCGCCGTTGGGGGAAGTGAAGATTTTTTTTAAATTCTGACCTGTCGTGCCGATCACCCGAGACGCTTCGGAGCCATTGAGCATCAGCTGCCACTGTTCCTGAGCTTCGGCCAACCCTCTTTTAGCTTGATTTGTAGTCATTGCGTTTTTAAATGTGTTGGTAATGACCTCCTTTACCTTGCCCTCCGGAACGAACTTCTTAGCGTCGTTCGGTAGGTTTTCCTCCATCTTTTCCAGCCGCATGCTGGGCTTGTACTGAAACTCAACCGCCTCTTGGGGCAGTTCCTCCAGGTTGTCGTAGCCTTCTACTTGTATCTCCTGTTGGTCCTCTTCCGCCAATGGATATTCTTCGGGAGTATCGTCAATTTCGTACTCTTCGTAGTCATCTGCTGCCTATAAATCGTAAACGGGACAATTGATTACTGATCAAGTACATGGGCCGTTGTGTAAGCGGTAAGATACGGTTTACCCGTATCACAGTTGTTGTATTAATAAGTTGGATATACGTTATAAAATATTATACATAGGCTGTGACGTGACTCAAAATTTTTTAATCCGGGGAATAATACACATTAGTCGTAAAGTCCGACTGAAGTGTCTTAAAAGTCTCTAAACACAATGCAAAGTTAAGGTAATTGAATTCCTATGTGTTCTCAAATTTTAAAATATACAAAATAAAAAATGTAGCGAGTACACGTTATATATACGCTTACTTATAAGTTTAATAGTAGCCTTATGGTACCTTATTTGTATACTGTATCGTGATGCTTTATTAATCTTAATTAAAAAATTATGTATTATCATTTTTTATACTAGTGTAATATAATTGATTTTATATTTGCCCGCGGCTTATAGAGTTCTTACGTAAGTACTGGATTTTGCTTTCAGTTATTATATGTGGAGATTTAATTTTTGTAACTACTTATATAGTATCGTTAAATTTAGATTATATGAACAAAATTCCATTTAGTTTTGACTATTTGACATTTGACTTACTGTTTAAATAAAATGTCTTGATGGCCATTTGTGTATTAAATATATATATATCTTAGAAATAATTATCAGCTAATTGATTGAATTTTTTAGTTAATTTTTGTTGTGTTTCGAGTTTCGAGAATCAAATATTCAGTTAGCGAAATGGTGAGTAGGTTACCTACCATTAATGTTTGTATATACTAGCTCTGTATCATCAAAAACTACTGGACCATTTTCAACAAAAGTTATATTAATAGATAGGTTTTCGAGATAGAAATATTTGGGAGATGTTTATAGCTTATTTTTTAACCCCATTGGTTGATTGAAAATGAATTTAATTTAAAAATTGAATATTTTTTTGAATCATTACCATTGGTTACAGATTATATTACTAATATATAAGTATAAAATTATACAAATGTTTTAAAATGTATTTTAACAAAAAAAAAAACCCTTGAAATCAAATACTTATGAACATATAATTACAATGATTAATTTTATAGTTTTATAATTTGATTTCTTATTTTTGCAGTGGCGTATTTATGGGGGGGGGGGGGGGGGGGGGCCCAGGTCCCTCCCGAAATGAAAAACGCAATTATTAAAAATTGTTATTTTTGACATGGAATATGCCTTATGGTTGGGGAATGGGGATATTTCTAAAAATTTGACACGACATCGATATCATGACGTCATGAATGAAACTGTCGCTTATGCGATAATTTAGAATAAAAGTATAGCGTGGTGAATGCGTTAGTATTTTGACGATTATTAATGATTATGTGACATAATTTATTATTTAAGTTATATAAATAAAACAAATATTGGTTGTTAGTTGTTTACGATTTCGGCAGACGGAAACTATTAGTATATGTAATTTTAGCTCATGACTTCTAGAATTAAATTAATAACTGTAGTGGTGAGATAGTAATAATATAGGTAGTCAGTGGCGTAGGTTAGGTATTAACTATTAATTATATGCATTATATTAGTATTGATTGTATTCTAGTTTAATTTTGAGTGTCTCTAATAAAAAATTGTTTATAAAAATGTAGGTATTACTTTTTTTAATGTTACAATTCATTAAAAAAATGATTGAGTTTCTTATTACTCTGATGGTCTAAAGAGAGTTGAAAGATCTTGTAGTATTCAAGCAATTTTTGTCCAAATAGTGTGTCTCCTCCCTCCTTTCCCTAAAGAAATCCAAGTATATAATCGGCCCCCTTCGAAATAAAAACCTATATACGCCACTGTATTTCTGGATATATTTTTGATGTAAATACATAAAGATGAATATCGATCTTAACAATGTTGAATTTATGTAGTTTTTTAAGTATTACCTAGTTGTATTATGTTTGTATTTACATAAAAATATGTTAAAATGAAAAAGTAGAAAATTATAATATTAATCATTGTAATTTATAATTGTATTTGTACCTAATATATACTTCGATTGTCAACTAAACTAAAGCAAAATAGAAGATATTAAAAAAAAAATTTTTTTTAACCCATGTAAAGCCAAATAATACAGTTAATTTACTATACATAAAGACTTTCTAAACCATATTTCAATAAAATTGTGTTAAAAAATCACATTAAAATCGTACATAATAAATATAGCTATATGGCAATGTATATTTTATATAGCACTTTATTCACGTATAATATTGTACTTTATGTTGACTAGATATATAATAAAATGTGTTTTGTTATTCTCTAAAAAGATATTTACATTAAATTTAAATAAAAGCTTATACTTGACTTAATTAATAATCGGGTAAAAATAAATTAATAAATATATAAAATAATTTGAACTTAAAATTTCTGTAAAAAGAAATTATACTCATATATTTTTAAGATTTTAAGGTTTCATTATAAATAAATATAAACTACTTATAATTCATAAGTTCTGAGGAACCTCATATTACATTTTCAAGTGTAAGCTACGAAAATTAAACATTTTAATTAATTTTATTTTTTAAACTACAAAATATCTAGGTATTTTACAAAATTTCATGATTTTTTTTAAATTTTAGTAAAATTTGAATTTTAAATACTTATAAAATTATAACTATATGTATTTTTAATATCTTCTAATTCTAATATGAATATTGAATAATATCTGTAAAATATTGTATTAAATATTTTGTATACAATTATTCGTTTATATACACTTTTTAAAATAAATAACTAAAATAAATCGAAAATTTTTAATTCTTATGAAATAAAAATAGGTGCCTACTCATAAGTTTTTTTAAATTAGTCAGAATATTTTTAGAATTTCATTAAGTCAAAATTTAAACTTATTAAAATTATTTTGGAATAATGCTTAAGCTTTATTTGTTTTCCTAATAATAAATACTTATGAGGTTTTTTGCACTAATCGCTCAAACTTTTTGAACTATATTTTTCATTTATATTTAAATTTAAAAATAAAATTGATGTTTCAAAAATTTATAAATAACTCAAAAGAAAAAAAATTTAAAATTAATATCTATGATTATTCACTTTTAAATTAGAAAAGATGTGAAAATCAATATTGTCGAAGAGTGCTTTTTGTAAAAGTTCTATAGTTTTGCTTATTTATTTTTTTTTATCTTTTTTCACTCAAAGTGCAAACTATATTCACTGTCCTATCAAAAAAGATATAGAAGTTGAAGATTTTAACATTTTTTCAACTATAAAAAATTTTCATACATGCACAAAATAAATAAATAAAATAAATCATACAACCGTTCTAAAATCAATTCGTCGCTTCACTTAAAATAATAGTAATAATATACGAAGAACTATAAAAGCGTAAGTAAATAAAATTATCTATGGCCTTTATAATGATATTTCTATAACAAGAAAAAGTTTGTCTTACTAATGTATAACATTGTAATTGTTAAATTAAAAATAATCTACTTTACTCTGTTATTTTTAACATGGATGCGACGTACTTAAGAGGTTATGGGTAAATAATTTTAACTGTGTAATATAAACAAGTATAATATATCTAAATTATTTAAATGTGACTTTTTGACTTATGATTAGTAATTAGTTTTAATATGTATTAATTAATCATTCATTTAAAATTGTATTGATACTAATTTTATCAGAAATAGTTCAATAGGCACAAAAATATTAACTGAAAAAGGTAGGTATAAGGTATGGGAAACGGCAACTTTCACCACTATTGAAGACGCCACATCTGTACCTATCCATTAACCTAATAAATTGTAACACTAAGATACAAATACCTATATATTTAACAAAGTAAAAAGTACCTACTATAAAGATTCTTATAATCAATAGTTGTTTGGACCACTGGATATATAACCATATATATAATATATATATATATATATATATATTTATACGTTGTCATCTAAAATGATAATACCAATGTGTAATAGATATTTATTTTCTAGGTTGTAGTGTTATCCTTATCATAATTCATAGATCATAGGTATTATAATTAACAACCATCGATTTTTATTTCAAAGACAAATTACAGTAATGTTACATATCGTAATATATGATAATTTAATAAAAAATACTACAGCCAAAAAATTACAATTATCAATAGTATTTTAAATTATCATTAACATTATTTTTTTCTAAAGATTTTTGTAAGAACGAAGACCTAATATTAGTAATATTTAATATCAATTATAATGTAATAAATAAAACGAAAAATCGCCTGTATTTGTTTTCCAGTGTCATAATTCATTTATTACTTAGATACCTCCTACCTTTTATATTATTATTAGTATTCAAAAGTGCCTAGATTCATTAAATGATTGAATTAATTACAACTATTTGTTATTAATTTAAATTACCTATTTCAAATTAGCACCTACTGCCTTGCTAACACCATGACATTAACTTTGAACTTCTAAATAGTTTGTGGTTTTATTATACCTAAATCAATGCCAGCATAAATATATACGTGTCATTACCATGAATATCTAGTGTCCGAACTTGAAAATTCTGACAGTCACCAAGTGAATGTCGACGATTAAAATTGAACATACACATCCTAAATTGGTAAATTATGACAAATTAAAAAATTTGGACATTTAGGTATTAGTGAATGTTAAATTTGCACGATGATTTTGATTGGTGTATATATAAATATACACAATTACACAACACGGTATTGGTTAATGTTGACATTCATATGCGCCTACAATCTACATAGCGTAGTCAGTGTAGAGTCTAGACTATAGAGTATAGACGATAACTAGTTATATTTTTGTTATTAATTTAAATTTTATGAAAATTATTAAAAAAAAAAATTTGGAAATTATGGTGTAATAAATAAATAGTATATAAATAGTGTCAGAACAAAAATCAGTTGTACTATCTAATTATTCTAATTGAATTTTGTTTTGTTATTGCATATATCGTGTACCTATACCCTTGCCAATCGAAATTTTAATTATATTATGATTATGAATTTCTCATTATCCCAATATCCTAAACAATATTAACATTATACAAACATTCACCTATACCACTTCAAAATTATCAACATCCATTAATCACTTGTTAAATTAATTAGCTCACAAATAATATGCGTTCAATCAATAATTTGTCAACTGTTAACATTCATTTTGGTAAACGATGACATAATAATTATTATCGTTAACTGGTGAGTGATGACTAATATCATTGATGTCAAAGTTTACCAATAACTGTAAACATTTACAGTAACTAGACACGGATCTAGAAGTCTGAAATTGCAATGGAGAGGGGGATACATTTTTTTCAAAAATAATACAATTATGATTTTAATAGGTACATGATAGCTTTAAGATTATAATAATATATTACATTATAGATAAGATTTAATATCATTAACAATTTTATTTATATTTTAAAATCATGGATTTCTAGACGTATAAAACATATTCAACATTTCCAAAAGGAATCCATGCCTAACAGTAACATATACACTGATATACCTATACAGTAGGTAGGTACCTAGTTGTGTAATATTACATAATATCATACACAGTTATTAATGTTATTATTATTTTAATGGTCCATATAATTTAAAGACGATTAAAATATGATATGTATAATATACAATAAACCGATTAAATGCATAATATTTAAGTCCATATTTTCATACAATGTCAACGTATTAATATTTACCTTAATGGCAATTATAGCAGAAAAAAAAACACATATAATAAGTGATGTGTTCAATTTCATCTTGGAAAGTCCGGTTTAGGTTTGTAATATATATTTTTACTCACTAACACAAAAACTCTTGATAGAATATTTTTGTTTTATCAACAACACATACTTTTATATGGTACCTCATATATTAAGATAATTGCATAAAAATTAACGCTCCAAAAAATATGTGCATGCTCTTATTTTTTTTTTTTACATAAAACATTCATTGTTCTTTTTTTTTTTATATATTAGAGTAGTATTTATATTGATATATTCAATGTGTTACTTTATTACAATAGGCATTTGTTATATGCCGATAATTACCCATATTTTTTAAGAGAAAATACAGAATACCATCTGTTAACCACAATTATACAAATAACTAAATGAACTTACATCCCAGAAAAGTATATTTTTAAAAACTGTACATTTTTTTTCTGTGTCTACATAATAAAAACAATGTGAGTTCATAATGATTAAACAAATATATTATATATATTCACATGTTCATTATTGATACTTATGAATTATAATTCTACTAATTCTAGAAAAATTTGAAGTACCTATTATGAAATTTAAATGTTGTTTCTGCTTCAAATAATGAACACTTTTAAGAAAAAAAAAAATAAAACAATCATCTAGATAAATTTTATATGTATTATATTATAACGCATGGTATATATACTTAAAATTAAAGTTTTTTTAACTACATTACATTAATAATATCTAAATGGTATTTAGAATAAAAATGTATAGATAGTTTTAATTAATTATAGGTACCTATTTTATTAAAGATTACAATAAGTTAAAATAAAAAAGCACTATATTTACTTACAACTGATTAGTAGGTATTAAATATAACAATTAAAATAATTATACATGAAAAAGGCACAACATAGGTACCTACATTTTTTATATATTTTATTGTTATTCACCAAGGTAGTAAGTATCTGTATAATTTAAAAAAATTAATCAAATTTGTTGATTAAAAATAAATAAAATAGCTATATTTTTTTAGATGTCATTATAATTATATTTTAAAATAGTAAAACTATATTCCTCGATATTTCCTTTCCGTGGAATTTTAAGTTTAATTTCATGCTAATCTAAAATCATGTTAAATTGCCTACTTATAACATCATAATTTTTTTTTATTTATTTATTCAAGGTATAACTTCAACAGCAAATTGCAAACACATTAGTTATATTATATTGTATACATTTTATAACTCACATACTACATAAATTTGTATGTATTTGTATACATTATGTTATTTATTTTTGTATTTTAGATTAAGTACATTTTTTTTTTTATTTAAACAGTTTTAAAAAAAATGATTTATTCTAGGTTTTTTTTATAATTTATATACAAAGTTGGTTACGATTCTTGGCTAAACAATATTAATTATATCCAAATTATAATAAACTAAAATAATATATAATAATTTATATAGGTATTATATAATATACTATAATTGATACTGAGCTCGCTGCTATTGACTTTTTAAACGTCATATTATGATAATAATTTGTTCAAATAGATAATTATTTATTCAAATTATTGTAATATATTATATTACAATGTACTAAAATACCAAAAAGTACATAAAATGTGACATATTTATACTTAAAGACAGATTTACACAATAGCCGCCTTTAGACAAATTTTATTTTGCTGTCTTTAGCAAATCAATGAGAAAACGTATTTTTAAGTACTTATTTAACATAACTACTAAAATCAATAAATCATATAGACTAATACTAAACAATAGTCATTGGTTATGTAATTACGTAGTATGTTAATAAACTGTTCTAAACAAGAAAATAGTATACTAATACAATACCTATCTATTGACTATCACCATGTTTTCGAATAGATTTGCTCTACCAATTAAATATAATTATTGTATAGATATAATTAGGTTCCTTAAACAAACTAATACGTTTAATCAGTTTTAAATTATGTTATTGAAAAAAAAAAGCAATAGCAAATAATTTAACTTAAAAATTCGTACATATTAATGACCTATTATACAACATACTGTAGCAAATGAGAAAAAATAATGTAAAAAAAACTATTTCATTTGTTTGCGTCTTGCTTTTTTTTTTTTTACAAAAGTTTGAATTATCAAATTATGTCTTCCAATTTTATTTTTTGACTTCTTGTGTCATTTCACTTACAATTGACAACATTTCTAAAGAGTTTAATTTTTCTTGTCCTAATTTTGAACGCAAATAAACTTTTATCTGCTTTAAAAAAGAAAATGATCTTTCTTGTGTAGGTAGGTACAGTTAGTGATAGACTCAGGGTTCGGATTTTATAGCATTTGCTACTTATTATAGGATAGAGATAAAAATAGCAGAGTGGGCTATAAATTTGTTTTATACACCAGGGACTCAAAATATGAAATTTTATTTTGCTATTTTTTGCATATTTGAAGAATTTTAGAATTTTAGTGCTATTTTTAAAGTTTTGGTGCTATTTTTTGCTAATATTCTTAATTCAACGCTTTATTTTATATTTTTCATAAATCTCGTTTATATTGAATGACAAATAGTATTCATTAATGCGAGTCAATAAGAAAAATTCCCACATTTTCGTTTCATATTATATAACATGTAATAAATCTATTTTTAAATAGTCCGACGATGTCGAATCTTATCTTCTTATCTGTTATTGTTCCACATAATTGTAGATTCTATAATATACCGTCGACTGTCGTATGTATTTCAGCGTCAGTCGGTTCTCCGTATCGTTTGATTTCGTTTCATATTCGTTCATTACTCGATTGTGTATTATTTGTTTTTCTGTTTCGATATTAAACGTATAATGCCGAAAGATAAAACATCGAACTATTCGAGACTAAGACATTTTGTGTCCGAGTTTGGCGATGAGGTTTTTTCGATTGACGCAAGTATTCTGTTTTGCAAATTGTGCGAATGTAAGGTTAATAGTGACAAAAAGTTTAACGTCACTCAACATTTAAAAACGGATAAGCATTTAAAAGCCATTAAACGGGAGCAAAATAAAATTGAAAAGAAACAGCAGTTACTTACAAATATTCCACAAAAGTCTACTTTTAATATCGATCTATGCAAGACTCTTATTTCTGCAAATATACCATTAAACAAGTTATCCAATGTAAAGTTTCGACAATTTTTAGAAAAGTATACTAAAAATCATATTCCAGACGAATCAACACTGAGAAAATTGTACGTTGATGATATTTACAATGAAACAATCGAAAAAATTAGATCTCAAGTAGCTAATAATCGCATCTGGGTGAGTATCGATGAAACAACGGACGTTGAAGGACGCTTTATTGCTAATGTTATCATCGGTACTCTGGAGATTAAACATTCTGGATCCATTTTTTTACTCCACTCGGAACAATTAGAAAAAACCAATTTTTCTACCATAAGTAAAGTTTTTGACAAATCTATGAGCAAATTATGGCCAAATGGAATACAGCACGACAATGTACTATTATTTTTATCAGATGCGGCACCATATATGAAAAAAGCTGGAAAATCATTAAAAGTGTTCTACTCAAAAATGTTGCATGTCACATGTGCAGCACATGGCTTACATAGAATTGCCGAACAGGTTCGTGACCACTTTAGCACTGTTGACAAAGTAATCGCAAATTGTAAAAAAGTATTTAAGAAAGCACCTACTAGAGTCGAAATATTTAAAATAGAGGCTCCAGGTATATGTTTACCACCAGATCCCATAATTACAAGATGGGGATCATGGATTAACGCTGCCATTTATTACTGTGAAAATTTGAGCACTGTTCGCGGTGTTATTGAAAAGCTCGATGAAGATGATGCAGTGAGTATAAAAAAAACTAAAAAATACATAGTTAAACCCGGTATTGAGAGCAACCTAGCGTATATAAAATCAAACTTCACAATTCTCGTAGAAGGAATAAATAAACTACAAACAAAAGGCCTTTCTTTAATAACAGCGTTAAAAATAATTGAGGATATCGAAGAATCGTTCAAATCATTACGGGGTGAAGCAGGTACAATTGTAAAAAATAAATTTAAAACTGTATTTGAAAATAATAATGGCTTGACATCATTAAAACGCATTTCTAAAATATTGTCGGGTGAAGAGGAAAATAGCGAATTAGACGGAGATCTTGAAGAATTGACTAGTGACGATATAGTATTTTTTAAGTATTCACCTATTACATCGGTTGATGTTGAACGTTCCTTTTCGACCTACAAGTCATTGTTGACTGATAACCGCCGGAACTTCAAATTTGAAAATTTGGCAAAACACTTAATCATACAGTGTAACTCAGGTAAAATAAATAAAATATTATTTAATTAATAAATAATAATTACTTGAATTTTATTCTTATTTACTCAGACAATTTTGAATAGTTGCGTACAAACGATGTCATAATTCAAGGTATCAAGTTAATCAGTACACACAAATTTTTTTAAACTGTAAACGATGATTTTAGTTTTTTTATAAATAAATGATTTAATAAAGTTATATGATAAATTGAATAAAATTTTGATTTGTATATATTTTTATTTGTTGCTATTTTTGATGTTTTTAGGGCATATTTATAGAGCATATTTTAAGGTTTTTTTGGTCATATTATAGCGCATATTTTAGGATTTTTGGTGCTATAAAATCCGAACCCTGGTGATAGTTGTTCAATTGTTGACATATAAATTCTCAAAACTATTTCTGTGTTTGGAAACACTGACTTCAAATAATTAAAAAAATATATATTCAAAAGTTTTATTGCGGTGAATATTTCTTTATTATAATTGGAAATTAAAAAATATCGAAAATGTATTAGCTTATGCTCAAACTTTTCATAATCTAAATCAGTTGTTTAAATTTAGTAATGTTTTTTAGCTTATTCTAATATTTCATTTTGCTCCATGCTTTTAAGTGTGTTTTAAAAAAAAAATGTTCACAAAAATATTTATGCCTGCTCGTCTTTTTTGAAATTCAATTATCGCTTGATAAATATTTACAAAATTTAATTAATTTTTGGATTATGAAAATGTATTACTATATATTGTAGCTGTAGGTAAGTGGTTTACTTTAATTGTAAAGATTAAAAATTACCTTATAAAATCTAAAAAACCTAGAAATCTCAATAAAACATTGGCCTAAAATTACTGCTCTAGACAATTGTCTAATTTGCTAATTAGCTTGACACTAAATCTACCATTGTTACCATTGTTTATACTACTACTATAGTACTATTGTTTTAGATATTGAACAAAACAGTTAAACGAGGATAAGTTTTTTTAAAGTATCTACTTATCTAAATATACTATTATTATCAATAAGTATAAATTTCTTTCTATGGCTCTAAGAAGCGTGTGCAGCTTTTTTAAATGAGGTGGAGATGATGTGCATTTTTTATTATTCTACCATGATTGAATAAAAAAATATATTCTTGCATTTACCCGCAGGTTAGATTAAATTATAATTATATATTATTAATCGTATGCAATCCTATATTTTACAATGTAAATACTCATTAAAAAGAAATAAATAATTAATTAAAAATTATTATTATTTCAAAAGAATAATGTTATAACATCTTAATGTAGTCATGTAGATAAAATATTAATAGTAGGAAGGCAAAAATATAAGGTTGATTAATTCTACTAAAATAAATTAATAGATATTAAACTCCAACTGTAGGTACTGCAGTTCGAATATTGACGTGGAATTATATAGGCTTAATTAAGTAGGTAACATAGACATTTTAAATTCAAAATTGAACAAAATAGTATACCTACTTAAACTATAAATTATAATATTCATTATTTTATTATAATTCTTATTTAGTTGAAATGCATATGACATTTTCAAATGCAGTGTTTTTGATAAAAATTAATTCGATATTTCAACCTACTATAATATTACGAATACCTAAATCTAGTATAATAAATTAATTAAATATTAATATCAAAAAATGTTATATAAAATAAACTTAGTGATTTTAAGCTCATAGACCGTCTCCTCTTAGAATCGTGAATCACTGAACATCTATACTTTACATCTTTATACCAAAGCGCTACTTTTTTGCACATTTTTTTCTACGATTATTTTGAAAAACAATTAGAATTTCAAATATTATTCTTTTAAAAGTACCAGCAGATCCAATTTCATAATAAAAACTTAGAAGTTAGAAACCACCATCAAAGTTAAAGAACAGAGTTTTTTTTTTTTTACTATTCATATATCGTGTATATTGTATATAGTATATACACTGTTAAAATATAAAAACAAATCATCCACTTAGAATTTAAAATGTATATGTACTTACTTACTTCAAATTATCAATTTTCCCTATAATGGCTATAATAAAAAATGATTAATGTCATTATTTTAAATGAACTTGTTCTTTATATAAACATACAATATATAAAGTTAACAATACTAATCGTATGAATTTAAAGAACCAAGATATTAACAAGATAAAAAAGTATAAATATGCACATTTAAGAGCCCTAATCTCACAATTTTTTAAAATTTTATAATTTAAAAATTTATTTATTTAATAAATAGTTCATATTATGTCTTAAAATCTATAAATATAAAATTTCTCTATATCAAGTTGTTAATATTATTTGTAATATTAATGATATGTAATTAGAGCAAGGACTCGTATTTAAAAATGCACGCTTAGGATATATCAAAAAAATTAAAAATATATAATTAAGTATGTTCTACAACAAAAAAATACTCGCCCATATAACATTTTTAATATTTTTTTTAAATATTTTATTTATTTAATTCATTTTGATTATTTTATCTTAATTAATTTTCTATGTACTTATACATACAATAAATCAGTCAAAACAGATCTAATCTTATCTACCCACTGACCAATAAGATGATAATAATTAGTCACTATCGTTTTTATGACAAATTCTCACTTTAATATAGTTGTTGATCTCGATTCATGAAAAATGTTTACCGAAGTGCTTTATTTTCTATTAAGTATCAAATACTAAAGTAAAAATACTTAAGTATATATACTATAAACTTTAAGTATTTGATCATAAATATTGTGAAATGTATTGTAAACTCATTAAGCATACGATGAAGTTAACCAAAAGAAATATACAAGGACATTCACGTCCTTGTTCTAATTATAACCTATTAATTATTATGTATTAAAGCTATAACTTTGTTTTTTCGAAAAAATGTTTTCTTCCCATACCACTTCAAATTTCTAGATCCTTGTATGATTTAGTTACCTATTTACTATTTGTATATATTATATATATTATTATGTATTTGTTAATATTATATAAAATTTCCCTTTACATTTACAGCAAATATTAAAATGACAAACCTATCGTGAATAACTATTATTTATGTAGGTATACCATCTCATCTGAGTGACATAAAACTTAAAACTTTAGTGAAAGTTTTTTTTTAGACAATTAATATTGTAATTTTTTTAGATCTAGGAATAAGTGAACCGTTTTTTAATTAAAATAACCCTTGTGTAATTTTGATAATAAATATTTCCATCAATCAGAAAATTTTTCTTCAGAAGTAGCTCCAATTAACAGAAATGTGACTAAGCCAATAGGCTGACTATTAACTGTGTATGACCTATTTATACATTTTATAAGGGGATGTAGTGGGAGATTTGTTTGCATATCATCACATTTAATTATATTATGAATTAATGTTACCAATAAACAATGGCAGCAGTAGAGTAGTAATGTTTGTACAAATCTTTAATTGCAGTCGTTTAAAAGGAAAAAAGATTTTCTCACAAAATAAATAATTAATATTAAAAAATTTAGCCATTTTGTAATCAATAGTCAGCATTAAAGTGCTTAAAATTTGTTTGAAGAGTGTCAGATTATAAGTTTTGTATATTTTTGTAAATAGATCAAAAAAATATTTATTCAATCAAAATATATAAAAAGTATTTACTTTTTTGATTTGAGATTTATTAAACATTAAAAAAAATTGAAGCCAAGATTAAGATTTTTTACAATTTTTAAATTACCTACTTATTGTTTATTATTTAAAATTTACTTTAATTATTATAAAGTTAGTTTGTTTTAAAGTTATTATTCATAAGTTAAATCGTTCAACTATATAAATATTTATATATCTTTACATTTTATTATACCTAGCCATCTAGGTATTGTTGTTTGTTGTAATTTCAATAAAAAGTTGCATTTTTTAAATTTACTTTTGTTATTTTTAATACAAATATATTGTTTTAAGTCACTATTAAAATATTTTAATAATATAAATAAATTGATGAATAACAATATTTTAAAATAATAATAATTGTATTTACAACACAAAATATTTGTTGCTGTATATTTTCAAGTAGTTAATGAACTATCTTACCATAAAAACTTAATTAGAATTAAGATTTTATAGTTTAAAAAATAATTAACAACTGTCACAAATAATTGAGTATAAAATAAAACAAAAACTTGTAATATTTGATTTTTAAGAACAAATTTTTAAAACAATTTAAGAAAATATCTTCGATTTACTGCTATCTGCATAATTTTCGCATTGCATTCATTGATGCAAATATAACATCATTAACACTAATTCCAGCATATGATGAACCAACCAATGTCAATGGTAAACGCCTAACATTAATATATTCTTGAATTTTGGTTACACGTTCATAATGTCCGACTGTATATTGTGGAATGCAATCATTTAATATTTGCGTATTAAATGTATTTGGTGTTGATTGAATATTAAGCACACGTTTAACATGGTCTACAGCTGTATCAGCAAGTTTTTCTTCAGACAAACATTTAGAGTTTTTGACAAAATGTTCTTTAAAACCATATCCACCCATCATTACTGTAAGATCAACTTGATCACTATACCCATAAATATAGTTATTAAATATTATACCCAACAGTGACAATTTTTCAAGTGGTGAAGAAAGAACTCCAAAACCTTTGTAAGAACCCATCACTTTAGGATCATTGTAAGTTAAATTTACTGTTGCTATAGATACCATGGGTATAGATTTTAAAAGCTGTGTCAATGGTGAATGTTGAGATTTATCACAGAAAAGTGAAGCTAACTTATGTGCAGGTAATGCGCTGACAACATGTGAACATTCCAATTGTTCACCATTAGAAAACACAACTCTGGCACCTTTTCCATTTTCATGAAAATGTAATTGTGTACACTGAGTATTCAAATTTGTATGAATTCCTTGAGACTCATTATCGATATTTAGAGCATGGATTAAACGTTGTAGGCCTCCATCTAAATAATAAACTGGTGGTGGAGGTTTATCAATAGTGGTTCCCTTTGCATCTTTTACTTTTTCACGATTCCAAATAGAATTTAATTGTTCTTTTAATAATCCTAATCCCACGGTACCATGTTTACGTTCTGCTTCATATAAAGCACCAAACATAAATTTAACACTCATTTGCTTAGCATTTCCACCACATACTCCACACAATAACGGTGATATCAAGTAATCAGCAAATTCTTGCCCATAAGTACGACAAAAAAAATCATATGCACTTTCATCATTATTTTGAACATCAGGTAAATTAGATTTGCTATTATTTGATGAAAAACACTCGCGTAAAACATAAAAAATCCATGGTTTGGTAAATGGTTGATTAACTGTAAACAAAGCTTTCCAGATACTCATGGGTAATTGATGTATTTTACCATTTGCAAATATGTATCTAGCAGAAGCATCAATACCTACATTTCGCACTAAATCTTCAATACCTAAATCTTTTATTAATCTATACGTGTTGTTGGCCGATTTTCCACGGCCTCTAATCGTTCTTGGTCCAAGTTCACTAATAACATTAGTGTTTTTGTCTCTCCATGACTGGATCCAGCCACCTGTCTGACTGCTGGCTTCAATAATTTGTATTGACTGGTTTTTTTCAATTCCTCCTTCTCGTTTCAAATAATATGCAGCGCTTAGACCAGCGAGACCACCGCCTAAAATGGCTATGGTCATGATGATTAAAGTTAGAATTTATTTAAAAATAAATATCAATTATAAACAGTACCAGCAGGTACCTAGAAATAATATTATGAGCAAACGTAGTATACTGTTATTTTAATTTTAAGAACTATTATGAAGACATAAAAAAAACACTTTTAAACGATTTGATTAATTTTTAAACGGTCATTTGTATTTTAATAATGTTATTTAGTATTTACATTTATAAATCAAAAACTTAGATTTTTTTGTATCACAATTAGATAACGTGAACAATTTTTTTAGTTACAAGATAACATGATAGTGATAATTTATTTATTATCATTTATTACACTTTCACATAGAATTCTCTAGAATTTTATGTTTATGTTCATAAATTGTTATATATTTTTAATTAGATTTAGAACTTTGGATTATGCTAGAACTATTATTTATATTTTATTAACCTTTCATTCATTGAACAATTTGAACACCATATCATGTATATATAATGTATTATGTAATAGGTAGTTAATGCAATATTAGATAATAAACTATTGAGTTTATATACTCAGTATATTATATTGTAATTGTTTTTAATCAACCTAATTTACTTAGATTAAACCTAATTCTAATCTTAATTAGGAATGCAATTGATTTTTTTATCGTATTTATTATATATTATATAGTGTAGTTTTTGCACTAATTTTTGTAATATCAAATTAATACATTTTAAATAGTGAAATATATCTAAAACAAAATTAATTTAATCTATAAATTTACTCTCAAGTCATGAGTCAAACAGAATCTACAAAAGAAAATGGATTACCATTTTATGCAAGTGGTTTAGTTGTCAAAGGATTTGGGCGAGGATCAAAAGATTTGGGTATTCCAACTGGTTAGTATAATAAACTGAAACAATTGAATACATTTTTAGTATTCACTATTCATTATAAATTAAAAAAAATATATAATTTATTAATTTTAATATCGGCTCAAAAGATTTTTTTTATATCATGTCATAATTATATAATAATTCTATAAGAAATAAAAATTTGATTGCACACAAAATAATGAAAATTGACTTTATTTCAAAATATTTAGTATAATATTATTCATACTTAAATTGTTATAAATTTAAAATGTTAGTTTTAAAAACATTGTTAGTGTTAATTCCTTATTAATTACTTTAAAAGAAACTTAAGTTTTAATTAGGTACCTTTTTGTTTTATAGCTAATTTTAGTCGTGATGTAATAAAAGATTTACCTAAAAACATAAGTACTGGAGTATATTATGGATGGGCACAAGTCGAAAAATCACCAGTTTACATGATGGTTATGAGTATTGGTTGGAATCCATTTTATAAGAATACAGAAAAGTCTATGGTAAGTTAAAATATGTAATTTGATTAGTTAAAATAGTAATCTAGTTTCATAAATAAAATAATATTTAAAATAACTGTATAATTACTAATAACTTGTAAATAATAACAAAACTTGTGTTCTTGAAAGTAGGTCATACAATTTAATTACTTTGTTTTTTTATAGGAAATCCATATTCTTAAACAATTTGATGAAGATTTTTATGGATCTAATTTAAAAGTTAAAGTTGTTGGTTTCATTCGACCAGAATTAAATTTCAACTCTGTTGGTAAGTTTAATTATTTTAATCGCACAATATAGTTTATGTTATTAAGACTATATTATATTTTTTTTATAGATGAACTAGTTAGCACTATTCATTCCGACATTGAATATGCTAAACAAAATTTAGATGAAAATGAAAAAGTAGATGTATACTTTGATTTATAACTAAAAATTGTAAGATAATTAAAATTAAAATTTGTTATTCCATTTTATGAGTATAAGAATATTACATAAAATATGTCCCTTCATGTTTTATAAAATTGTTCCATTACATTATTTTATTGGTATGTATGAAAAAATTATACATAATTATTGTTTATTTTATTTGTATCACAACTAAAATTTTTTTACAATTATGGTATTCACTTATTAAATTTAATTATTGTTATTTTTGAAATAAAAATTTACATTTACTGAATGAGAATATTATTCTGTTATTTGAAAAATTATTACTAGTGATTATTTTTTAATTATTAGTTATTAGTTGTATAGAAAGACTTCGCCCAGAAAAAAGAACAAATATCTCGATTTTAGTGTACCTCAGTTCACGACAAATTATTGTTATTATACCTCACTTTGTGAACTAATTCTACCAAAATGGGCAATCTGCTTGTACTGTATTGTATATAATATTTTTAAAATTTTTTTAACATGATTCTAATGATTATTGATTACAATTTTCTAACGTCTCTATAAAAATAATCTAAGATTTTTGTCAAATTCAATCGAATAGTTTTTAAGTATATCAGTCACAAACATACATTTATTTATGCATAGTTTATTATAGTATAAAAGTATTATAATATACTTCAATATGTGCTGTAATGTTTCAAATAAAAGCACTAAATAAAAAAAAAAAAAAACTTCAATATCATAAAAGTATCTTTTATTTTTGCAACTATTTATAAAAATAAATTTTTTTTTATTTCCGTTGACCAAAATTAAATTTTTGTAGAATCACCTAATAGCAACTTAAATTGGTTAAACAACAAAGCTATAAACACTTCCAAAGTTCAAAGAACTATATGTAGAAAATTTGGCACCAATTGGTTCAGTTGTTTTCAAGTATATAAGCTTTATTCAAACATTCTTATATAAATAGAAGAAATCAACGACATAGAAACATTTAAAGTATTTTAGTTTAAGTATTTATTACATAAGGTGAACCAGCCGTTCATAAAAAAAAATAATGTTCAGAGTATAGTTTGTTTTATCAGAAGAGCAAGTTTAACTTTAATGTTATAAAAACTTGCCATCAGTCAACCTAAGAAAAATAACTTATAAATTACTCAAAATAGTTAAATAGTTTTTAGAGATGGATTTAAAATAATTATAAAACCAGACTAAAAAAACTCAACTTTTGAAATTGTAATTTATAATATTATTTCTTTATAAACGAGTCCATAATAATTTTTTTTCTATTTTAATTCAAAACTTGAATATTTAAATGTTTAATGCACAAGAAAACTGAAATATTACTGTCATAATATGTGTTTTATTTTCACGCTTGTTTATAAAGTATTTAGTAGGTACCAAGAAAAATTAATTAATTAAATAAAAATGTATTTATTATTTTAAATCTAAATTTGTAAATTCAAACCATATTAGAATTAAAAATTTATAGTTTTTACTTTTAATTTTCTTGTACAACAAGTAAATAAGGGTAATCTAACACAACAGGATACAGATTTTCAATGACTGGTTCTATTAGTATCACCGTTAACAGGACAACTTTTAGTAATTTAAAAAAAACTTAGTCAAGTATTTGAAAACGGCTTAGGATTATTTTTTGTTTTGAAGTCTATCTCTTGTCCATTTCTTGAATAATTTTATTAAGTTTTATAACTGATAATTAAGTATTTAAATATCTGAAAATACTATTAAATATAATCAAACTATTCTCACTACTTATCATTAGAAAAATGAAATATAAATAAATGGAAAAGGATAACGAACACAAAACATAGATCTTATTACATGTTTATTTTAGTTTAAATGATTAAAAAAAAAAAAAAAAATAATAACATAGCAAAAACCGACTTAAATTTATTACTTCAAGAATAGTGAGTATGAATAGAATAAAATAATTTAAAATATCAGTACTATAAAAGTAAAAAATTAATAATATAATACTGAATTAATTAATATAATCATAAATAAATATAAAACTATTCATTAAATATAATTATAGCATAATTTTGAAATTACTAACTAATGCCAATTCATATTAAAAATTATTAATTACTATTATTTCAATTAAAGAACTTAAAAAAAATATCCAAAAATAATAGCAATTAATGGAGCCCAAAAATTGGCTAATATTGGCGTACCAGTTATGAATGAAGATAGATACCATATTCCAATCACTACTGATAACTGAACTCCACTGTTTGCAATGAATAAACTGTAAAATATATGTTAAATGAAAATTAAATTAAATTAAATATATCACTCAAGTACTTACAAGAAATCTTTCTTCAATGCTTGTTTCATTGTTTTATCACTTTCTTTGTGTAAATATTTTCGTACACCTATCGTGAGATTTATAAAATATGGACGCCAATTTAAGGGTGTAGGATCAATGTAAAATACAGATTGATCATCCACACTCAGTTCTTCTTGTAGACGAAGTGTTCGAGCATTATCAAATTTCCATTCATTAAATATAAATGGTGAAAGTTTACTGAGTGATCGGTTCACGTTTTTATGTAGTCGTACAAGACTAATAAATTATAACATCAAAATATAACCATTTAAAACCATGAAGTATGTGTGGTAAAACGTAAAATAAATTAGAAAAATGATTATGCATATATTTGAATAAAAACCATTGTCTATTGACAATATATTTATTTATATGCTAAATTATGTTACTAAAATACATTAAATCATATTGAACAAAATATACTCACATTGGTCTTCCACCTGAGATTTTGGTAACAAAATCTAATATATAGGCTGGAATGAAATGAAAAATAGCTGAAGAAATCCAATACATGAATAAATTTGGCAAAAATTTTATATTTGGATACCAAACAGCACCACGAATAGGATACTTGTGTAAAGTGTCTGTTAATATTGATGAAATATCTTTCCAACGGAATGGATTGCATGTGCTAGTTGTAGAATGAAATATTGGTGTTTGTCCATCTACAGTCGGTGTACTACAATAAAATAATATAATTGCATACATTAACGAAAATGATAATTTTTTAAATAAATAATTAAATTAAAATCTGTACAATAAACTATTAAAATAAAATACACACACACAACATATATATATATATATATTATATTATATTATATTGTTATCATGTATAATTTACCTCTCTGGCAATTGAGCACTAAACCATGTACCAGCAATAATTGTATTTATTACCACATCTACAGGTATATAATCATATATTAAAGACTGATTTACTGGTAAACGCCTAACTACACCCTTTGAAGCACCCATTATAAATCCTTGTGGACCATTTTTTGATACTGTCCAGCCTTCAACAGGTTCTTTCCACGAAGCAACAACTATGAAATAAATTATTTTTATTGTTCTAATAATTAGTAAATATTTTGTACAGTATAATATAATACATACATTAATAGTATTTATTTTCAATCACAATATACTTTCATTAATAATTAAAAACTTAATAGTATTAATCATGACTTAACCAAGATTTTACTAAAATTTGTATTTTATATACACACAATATACAATTTTATATTTTAATATGAAATTATGAAATAACAAGTTATTTTATTTTACATTAAAATGTTGATCATTGTGCATTACGTCATGATATAAACAAAGAAAAATCATTAAATTTAAAAATAAACTGGATTTTTATAAGTGCTTATACTTAAATTGTGTGCAATCATTATTTCATAATTAATATCAATACATTTGTGATTTTGAAAAACATTTTTCTTATAACTATACAAAATATTAACCCTTAAACCCGTGTAACAACTATAATATAATTTTCATATTTGTTCGTATTTTACATACTCATGCTTGGCCGTACTATACAAGTGCGAATAATATTTTTGGCATCATTAACAACATGCTCAGCCAAAGCCTTAGTGAATGTATATGTATTGATATGATCTCCCATTATCCTAAACATGTAAAAATTAAACAAGAGTAATAAGACAGTTAAAAAATAAAAATAATTTACTTAAATAATTTTTATACAAGAAAATCTGAAGGTATTTTATAGATTATTATTGTTTAATATTTCACTATTCCACCCATGACACCCACACAAAATAAGTTAATAAAAGTATTGATTTTAAGTTTTTTTTATATTTATATTTTATCTATTGTAGTAAATACTAGTTGATACTAAATTACTAATTTTTGACCATTACCAGTGTGATGCGCATCTATTAATTGTATAAAAGTCAGAGACAGCAAATAAAATCATTGTAAATAACTGTAAATTATTATAGTTTTTAAATTTTTTCAAAAATCGTTATTTGCATTAAGGTGTTCATGATAAAACTGTTAAATATTGAATTTATGTATATAACTTAAGTTTTATAGATAATTAACTTAATTACTAACTTTTCAGCAGAGCTGTTTAATTTGTCGCTGTCCATAGTTAGAGTATAATTAATGATATCATTATAATTTGCTGGTGCATCATAAATTTTTTCCATTGCATAATTTTTATTACTATTAACATAGGCACTAGACACATGCAATAAACACTAAAAAAAAAAAAAACATTAAAAATTTGTTTTAATATTATTATTTAGTATTCAACAATAAAATAATGTCATCTTTACTTGAAGGTTTTTTATTTGTTTGCTTAGTTCTACTATACTCTTGGTACCCATTAAGTTGATAATTACAGCTGTTTTGAGGTCCGTTTCAAAATCTAATGTGGCTGCACAATGAACTACGATATTGACATGGTCACATAACATTTTATAATCGTCATCAGATAATCCTAATTTTTCCTCAGAAATATCTCCACATACAGGTTTTATTTTGTTTAATAGTACATCAGAACCCTCAGAATTTTTAATAATATCAAATACCTAATAACATAGTAATAAAAAATGTAAAATATATTTTATACAAATAAAAAAATATATTTATCAATTAAATGTTACCGAATTGTTTTTAATAGTATCCAATCTTTCTTCGATGCCTTGTCCTTTCCGTGGACGAAGTAAAATGAATATATTCCCAACATCTGGCATGCTTCTGAGTACTTTTTCTATGTAAGAAACTCCAACAAATCCAGAACCACCAGTTAGAAATATATTTTTATTTGTATAAAAAGATTTTATTGTTTGGTATGCCATTGTGCCAAATAGAAATATTTCTTCAATTCAAAAATGAAGTTTAAAATTTACTAGAAAAAAAAAATACTGATGACAACATGAAAAAAATAAATGTGTAAGGTATTGTTAAATCATGTAAAACATTAGTATTTTAGTCATGGTTTATACTATCATCGGGTATAAAACGCTAAGTTTATGTAAGTCATTATTAAATGTGTATTCACTGTTAAGCCACTTACGGTTGAATAGTACAATATTAACAAAAATTTGATACTGTTATGCCGACGGTAGAAAATTGAATAAAAGCTAACAACGATAGATGTTGCGATATGCCAACACTATCAGAACCATTAACTGAATAAAATATGAAAAAAAAAGAATATTATTATGACTAGAACAATGATGGACGAAAAAAAACCGGTTTTTACCGTGTAGTTTAGGGTCAATAGGATAGAGAAAAACTCGTATACGGTGCATCTAGAGTAATAATAACTTCGTCAACAAATCATACTTTCATTTGCCTACTGCTGCGGGAAATTTTGTGTAGCGTTGGGCGTTTAGTGGTGGGGCGAAGGAGGTGAAAGAGCGGTATGGGTAAACCGTGGTTTGTTTGTAAATTGTGATTAATAATAATTAGACGAGCAGGCGCCCGCTGTCGAGTGTCGACTGTCATCATGATGATTATTATTATCATAATGAAGCAATCACAGCGTACGAATATTTGTGCACGAAACATCAAAAACGTTCACAAAAATTTAAAATAGGTAAAATTCAATTTCAACGGGTTCAGATTTATGACATAAAACGTATCATTTCGATAACAGCTAGTGTTCTGTACAGAGGTGTTTTAAACAAGCAGACAAGCAGACACGCATACATTTCCGTATAGCGTAGACGCCGATCGAATCACGGTGGGAGGGGAACTTGTGAACTGATCGTCTGTGAGCGAACGGGAAACGATCGGATAATATAATACCTAATATAAATAATATGTTTGGAGAAACGAAATAGACGGCAAGGTATAATCTATTTATGTGATGTACTTACATGGCAGCGGGCTGCGTGCAAAACGACGAGTGTCCAACGAGGAATTAAAAATTTGCTTAGTAACAGCTAACAAGTGACGAGTAAGTCCGCGTGTGTCCTGTACTCCCGTATATGTACATCACAAATCGCATCAACAAAACACGAAGTCCGCGATGATAACGCTTCTGCGATAACAGAAACAAACAAAATCGATAAGCCACCGGCAAAATTTCTCCAGAGAAATTAAGTGAAACCGTATACACGCGCTGCGCACACGTCTAATTGACATTTACAGAGGGTATCAACCTATTGAATATCGGCCGTACCTATTAAATTATTATAAAATATGCATTTTCGAAATTTGCAGGCTGTATAACGATATCCAGTGTTTGAAAAGAACGTCGGTTCGTACACGTACGTCCATATATTTTAATAAACGTCATTAATTTTTTTTCAAATAAAACACGAACGTGAACGACGTTTGAATTTTTAATGAATTTGAACGATTTTTAGGACGTTCAGATTTATATTTATTTACCATTTCATAAATATTTTTATTAATATTGAATATTACTTATTAGTTAGTAATATTTTTCTATTATACTATATACATTATTTGTAATATTGTTTGTAGTTGTTTTTTTTTATTTATATAATTATATTGTGTATAGTTGTAATCGTTGAGCTATATTAATTTAGATATTTTAATTTTTAAACTATTAAAAAAATATATGTATTTACATATTTTACTATTGCCTGTATTTATATTTATATGATTACAAATTGTAAAAATTAAATACGGGAAATTCTAACGAGCTTTAATACCTATACAGCAACAGCAACAACAACAACATTACAATATTAATATGATGTAATGCTACGAATTTATAATAAATACCTCCTAATCGACGTAACGTGACGTTGACGTTACTTATAGTGTGAATCGACCTTTAGGCGATTATTTTTTTATAGTGTTGTAAGTAGTATTTTACGATAAGGCTTTATCGTTTATCATTCGTTCCATCAAATTTAGGTATAATTACTGGGTATTACAAAACGACAGCAACGCACAGAATATGCACGTAAGAAAATTATGTAATAGTGTAATAGTAATACTGTAATGTAGGTACTACAGTATTTACAACTGTGATCTGTATCCTATTTTAAGTTATTATTATAATGAAAAATAAATTCAAATCAAGAACTTTTAAATTTCTTAAATAATAAAACTATTGATTTAAAAAGTATTTTTGTAATTTCTAAATTTGTATCTAAATTTATTTAGTTGAATACTGGTTTACTCTCTAGTGCCTTTGTAGAAAAGTTATTTAGTACAGGGGAGGAATGTATTATATAAGTAATGACATCACTGTCGTAGTGTCATCACTACGCCATAGACTAAATAATTTTTGAAAACTTAATTTTTTATTATAGCAAAATAAGATGTTTTGAATTTCAATAAAACATAAAGGTAATTTTTATTTATTTATAACTTATAAGTATTCATAATATGACTAAAACTAAATATTATAAACAGGGCTCGAGACTTCTAGCACTAAAAAACTATGAAATATGCGCTATAATATGACTTAAAAAATGGTAAAATATGCACTATAATATGCTCAATAAAAAAATTATTTTGTTTAATTCTAATTCTAAAAATATTTATTTATAATCTATAATTCTAAAAAAAATCGATTGTTCTTTTTATCGACCATTGTTGTACATGTATAATTTCTTTATTCTGTAAACATAATAATTAGATAAATTTAATAAATCAGTAAGTAAGTAAATATTATAAATTATAAATTTTAGTTTATACCTTGAAAATTGCATTGTATAATTATATGTTTGTGAATATTTTCAAATTTGAACGATCTCCTATTATTGGTCAGAAATGTTTTGTACGTTGAAAATGTACGTTCTACGTCGACCGATGTGATAGTGGCGAACTTTAAGTATGGAACATCACTACTAGAAATATCATCTGGTAACCCATCTAATTCTCCGATGTCTCTTATACCCAATAAAATGCTGGACATTTTTTTCAAAAGTAATAGACCATTATTTTTTTCTAAAACACATTTTAATTTTGACTGTATTTTCAATCCTATTGGACCTCGTAGAGTTTCAAATGATTTTTCCACATCGTTAATAATTTCAATATAGTCAGACAATAACAACCCTTGTGTTTGTAATTTTTTTAAAGATGTAGTAAGAGATAAAAAATTTGATTTTATGAAAATAAGATCTGCGTCTATTCCGTTTTTATTGATATATTTTTTTGCTACTTTGATGCTGACTGCATCGTCATTGTCGAGTAATTCAAAAATAGAACGAATTGTGCTCAAATTATCGCCGATAAACTTACATTAGGTGAACCTATTTGCTGTGTAAAGCCGCGTTTACATTATAAAAGCGAACAAACGAACAAAATAGTTTTCAGACCGAATTGGCGTCCACACTAAATAGTCCTAATGTAAACGCGGCTTTATACATTTTTACATTTACTTTTGTAAAATAGGAATTTAATAAAGCGACACTTACCGTTGACTAGGTACAAACATCAAAACAACTTAATTTTTTTCAGATTAACAAATTATAGGCAAAAATAGCATGATACTTATAAAAATAGCAAAAATAATGCAAAAACACTTAAATATGCAAAAATATGCACTAAAAACTTTTAAAGCTGCGTTCATTTTAGTATGAAACGAATTTGTAGCTTACTCTGCTATATTTTAATGTACTATAAATAAATATGCAAATGCTAGAAGTCTCGAGCCCTGATTATAAACATATGTGTTATCTACAATTGTATTTTATATAACGTTATAATAACATAAGGATGCAAATTGTTTTTATTTTTATTTAATAAAGTTTTAAAAACGTATCAAATTAAAATATGAATTATTTATTTATCATGTACATATTCAATTTTTTTGTTTCAACATTCAAATAATAGTCTCAATTAGATGTAATAAAAATTAAATTTGAATTTTTTTTTTCTATTTAACCTAAATTGAAGTCTTTAGTCGAAAAGTTGTTTTTTTTTTAAAAAAAACTGTGGAGGTAAGCCGACCTAGCTTCGTCTTTCGTCTGCGTGCCTTGTATATGCTTAATTTTATTATTAATAAATCTATTTAATTTAAATAACATATAATTAATATATTAAAAATATAATTTAAATACTTAATATATTTTTATGCTCTAAATTTTAGAATCTAAAGTGTTAATTATTATTTTTGGGTTAATTCCTATATATTTATGGGTTTTTATATTGGTTGCAGGTAAGTGTCTTATAAAAATAAAATAAAACAATTTAAATGAATGTAGTTATTTTTTCAGAGAATGTGAACGTGAACGAATTCAATTTTTTAATGAACCAAACTGTTAGGTAATTAGCAGTAGGGAATATATTTTAGGTACCAACAGAATATATATGTAGCTGGTACTCGTGTATAATGTTGATGTAGACATATTGTATAATGATGATGTCTATTGTTTGATATTTTTATGAGTTGGTCGAGGACTAAGCAATTCAGGCCGTTACCTGTTTCGAGTGTTCTATTGAAATATTTGAACTTCTATCTTGTAATAAGCATAGCACACATCAAGTTCGTGGGTTGTGGGTAGCCGGTAGGTGAATATTTTACAAATATTTTAATATTTAGTCTTAGTGTTGGTCGTTGGTGATACGCTGGTACTACTTACAGATAGTATGGCAATTATTAAAAATATTAAATACCTATAACTAGTAGGCATTGATTACTAGCTGTGTATCTTTATGTTGGTTCTTTTTTTTTTCTAATACTTTAATTTATTAACTAGATAGGTAGGTTTAAAAAATATAACCAAATTTTCTATTTACTAAGTTTTAAGGTGTAATATTTTTACAAACAAATAATTACTAGTTTCAATGCCGATTATTATGACCTCGAAATATTCTACTTAGATATAAGTACGTGGTCATAATTATCATATAACACAGTTTTTCTAATAGGTAGTTACAGTCGTAGCCTTGTAGATATTGATCATAATATTGGTAGGTTTCTAACAAAATCTTATTTCACTAGTCTGTAAATATCTTATAAAATAACGATAATAAGTATTATTTTATACTTTGATATCGACAGACGTTTTTACAAATCTATTCTGAGTTTTGATATTAGGTTTCTATGTAGGTACTCGTACATGTGACTTTTAGAGACGCCAATAAAAGATTATAAATTTATAGCTCAGCAGATGCAAAATAGTTTTGATTTTTGATACATTGTTATATTAATATTATTGAGTTTGTGTAACCAATCATTTAAAGTACCTAGGTTTTAGATAATTTAGATACTATAGTTCATACTCGACAAAGACTGTCAATGATGGTTCCCGTTTTCGGTAGTCAATATAATTGATTATTATATCAATTGTTTACTATAGAAATTAACGAAAAACTAACTAAAATTATAAAAAAAAGTGAGAGTCATTAAATTTTTTATATTGTGTAACGTATATGAATTTCTATAGCTACCTTCTAAGTTTACTTATTGTTTAGTTATTAATTAGTAATTACCATTTCTCACCGCGCGTTAATGTATTACATTTTATAAGAAGGTCGTAGATACTATTCTATTATGTTGATTTGAGTTTATGCATTATTTTGATTATAAAGAGATTGCATTAATTATACAATTATTATTATATAATACAATTTAAATTAAACATAATAAAATAATATATTCTCAAATTTAAATATTTGTCGTAATTAATTTGAGTACCTATACTGCATGACTATGTATTTTATTATAACTAGATTAGGTAATGTAATATGTTTATAACTATATAGAAGTGACACATAAAAGCCAGAATAGTTCAAATCTACAATTTATTTCTCAGTAATTAATCATAGAAACTCAATATTTTTAAATGGGAGAATAGGTAAATTATTTGTTAAAAAAACACAAGTGTTAAAAATTAAACATTTTTAAAATAATATTCAAAACTTGCTGAAACTTTTACAAAGTAAATAAATTAGATTTTTTGGAAATTTGATTTTGCTATTTAAAGCACTTATTATAACAATTTTGATTTTATTTTGATATTATGTATTTATGTACAATGTACTTATTTCATATTTAGACTTTATATATGAATTAGACTGATAAAAATACATAAGACTTAGTAATAGTATCAAGGAACATCAATAAAAACTAAAAATAATGAATACTTTAGGTATATACTATAAATAAAAAGGAATAAATATACTGAAAAAAATGTATATATTGTACCTATACAGTGTTTGAAAAAGAGTAGGTATACTATCAGTAGTGTCTATTATAACTATAAGTATAATAGATAATATCGATAATAATACGTAGGTAAGGAATCAAATATAGGAAGTATATATTTAGATTATAATTTTATGGACATATTTAAATATATTTTACTATTTTTAAGGTATTATATATTTTAAAATAATTAGGTTGTTTTCGACTTATCCAAAAGGACGTCTTACCCACATCTAGTATCTCCATCTTACTAACATATAAATGTTTATACAGATTCATTAGGTTCTGTAGTTTTGTATTAATTTAAATATTAGAATGAATTGGTTTATTATCAAACTCAAAGGTAAGAACATTATTTGTGTTTTCTTGTTGGCTTCAAACAATATTTTAATATTTAAACGAGTTATGAGCATGTATAAACTCCGAGTATTAAAATTTAATAATATTAAGATTTCTTTGTTCTCATAAGTGATATCGACTCTGCTCTCCAGTCTATAGTTTCTATAAAAATATGCGTATATCATATACTTATTTATTATATTGACTACCTATATTTTATTAATTGGATATAAGTTAAATAACTAATGAAATATATTTAAATGAATTTAAATAAATATTTAATGAAAGTTAAATGAAAATTAATTTTCAATTTTTTTGGTTTGAATTTTATTTAACACATAAAATTAACTTTAAAATTAAAAAAATTATTTTTAAATGAAATTTAGGACAAATTTAAATTTGGTTTTAAAAATACTACCCAATTCAGTCGATTCAATTAATATAAGATTAATATATCATTAAGACAATGAAAAAACAAAATAAATGATATCCATTTTGTGTCGACCATGAGAAGTTTTAACTGCACCTTTTCTTTTAAAAATTACAATAAAGTAGTACAGTCACACACAATAAGCACTTGATGTATTTTATCACGCAAATATTCAAACAGCACACATAGGTATATACTTAATTAAAAAGTTGCCTACATTAATCTTTACTTCACTACTGCTTGTATACCTTTATAGTTGGATTGGAGTGTTTTTCATCATTGAAGAGTAGATTACTGTTATGTATTAAATTACAAAATAGTTTGCAATTTTTTGTAGGTACATATAAAAAAAATAGTGTGAAATATTCGGTATTTTTTATTTCCTGTGAGAATAACTTACGAGGAACTTTGTATTACATTTTCAATAGGATTTTTACTTATGAATAAAAATTATATAACTTAACAATTGAAAAAAATAATCTCCAATTTAACATTAAAAGAGCTAAAATATTTTTGAATTATTTTATATCTAGTAAAATATGCTAATATGAACATTTACATTTTGCGGAAAAATTGAAGTCCAACAGTCATTCATTTTTAAATTACAACAAAAACATAAAACTGATTTTATTGAAAATTTGTTTTTTCCTCTATTTTTATTTTTCTATTATCAAACATTTGCATAAAAAACAACATAAAAAGCATTGTAAAACCAATATGTACTATAAGATTTTTTTTTTAATATCCCCGTATATTTGTAGGATTTGAGACAGAACAAATTTATTCAGAAATTAAAATAGTATCGATTAAAAAGGTAAAATTTAGTATTATTGATGTTAAAAAGTATATTTTCAAAAAACCATTTATTATTATTTTTTATAAATGTTGATTTAGAGTTCATAGTTAATTAAAATGTATGTCAACGAAGACAATAAAAAATTTGTGGTTTAAATTATTTAAACTTTCTAAAATATATGTAGTAAAAGTTTTATAAAATTAGATTTATCATCACAAATCAATTGACAATTTTATTTAGAAATTAAAATACATATGTTTATTTGTACAAATGTATAGTATAAGAGTTTATATTAATATTTTCCACTTTAATTTGGATTCTGATCGAAACGATGCATAGATTAGATATAGGTATGCTATAGTTTTCATGAAATAATAGTGTTTTTTATGAAAGATTAGGTATTTACTTCTTATAGAAGGTAGAAAAAAATGTTTAGAGTTTTTTTTCCTAAATTGAATTCAATTATTTTAAAAAGGTTAAAATTAAAAATGCTCACTATTTTTTAAAATAATCGAGAAAATAAAAACAAAAAATAATTTTTGACCAAACTAATTTGTTTTTTGTTGTAATTTGTTATAAGTTATAACCATAGAGACTTAAAAATTACCAAAATATTTATATTAGCTTTTACTAAATATAGTTTTTAAAATATTTTAATTATTTTCTATAATTGTTTTACCTAGTTTATACGTTTAAATCCTTATATAAAATGTTAGACTTTTTATGTATGATATAATTTTAAATTTTATTTAAAACTGTTTGAAATTTAATACAAGGTTCTTCATAATTTACTCTGATTGCAATTAAAAAAAAAATAGATTACCGTAAAATCATATTTAATTTTTATGAACATTTGAACTTCAAATTTAGACGACATTTTATATTAAAACGTATAATAATGATATTTCGTCAACTGATTTATCATATTGTTATCTCTATGATGCTGTGGATTAATCACATGATTATTTACAAACATGATATCTTATCTTTATTAAATAATAAATGCACATGCTCAGATTTCTGTACTTTTGATAACAGTTGTGCAACTACTTTAACTGTGCTTTTGATATTAAACCACAATAATTCGTTTATTATTCCATTTTGTGTGTTAAACATAAGTAAACATAATATTAGAAAAATGCAGAATACAAAATAAAATAATTTGTGTTGATAACAGACTGTTTGTAAGTGGTGATAACGCAACGTATCGCTGTACCTTTTCATTATGGATAATTTCAAAAAATCAAATATTACAAATTCAAAAAAGAAAAGAGCACCGTAAGTTTATTTATGATTTATTTATTTAAATAATTTTTAATGCTATGTTTTGTTATATTTTTAGGTCATCAAAAAAATTAATTGAAAGTTTAAAAATAAAAAAAGAATGTGAGAAAAAAGCATTAGATATTGTTGTTGAGTTAATTGATGGTGGATTGGAAGAACCTGACTTGTTAAATAAGGTAGTATTATAAGATTATATAATTAAAGATTGATATTGTACCTAATGTTTGTAAAAGTAATTTTATCTTAAAATATAGTACTTAAAATAAAATGTACGGCAATCTCTTTTAGCAAATATTTATTGCTATGTTTTTATTAAACACCATTATTATTTGATTTCAATAATGGTAATCTTTTCTTCTTATAAGTATACATTTTTGTTGAAATAATCATAGTTACGGCATACTTAAAAAAACAAGTAAAATTATAAATATTACACGTGAGAGTCTATCATCTCATTTAAAGATTTTTTTTTTCAAATTATGACATTCTTTTTTAGCAAGGCAGCTTAAGTATTATAATTAATTTTATAATATAATTTCAAGTTTAACAGGTATCTAAAGTTCAAAGGCTTATTAAAATGAGTCAAAACAATATTGTCAACAAATTTGTGATACTTAGCAAGACTTTTAAATTTTATATTTCATACAATTGTATATTTTTATATTTCTAATTAAATTAAATTTTATAGATATACTATATATGTATGTCCTTTACAAAGATAATAATCTTAATTAATTAAGTTTGAATATAAATTTGCTTATTATTTAAATTTTTTTAGCTGTGTTCAATTAATGCTTGCCACTATGAAGATGTAGTAGAGGAAAGATTTATTTTAAAACAATGTGGATATGTTATGTGTGATAAAAAATTGACAGACATACCAAATCAAAAGTATAAAATATCATTAGCTCTTACTAAGGTGTTTGACATCACAGAAAGGAAGGTATTTATAGTAAAATTATTATTTTTAAAGTTACTTTATTCTATTATTATTGTTTGTTATTCTTTTATTCTTAAAAAACAATGTCTTGTAATTTTCAAAATTTTTTGTTTAAACTAATTTGTAGGTACAGAGTTTGTTGAATTTTAGTGTTTAGAACTAGTTTAAACATAATGATTTGAATTAATTTTAATATAATAATTAAAATTAAGTTCCACTCTTACAAAATGTTATTCAATTATATTTAAAAGTTAACAATTCAATTTATATAATCTATGATTATGTGTAGTTATTGAATTAATTGTAAAATCGATGTATGTACTATAATATACTAACATAATTTATAAGAAATTTAAAAAAATACGTCAATGATTTTTTTTTCTTATTGAATTAATTATTTTATATTTTTAATTGTGTGTGTAAAAAATGTATTCCAATAAAAATATTATGAAATAGAAATGACCAACAATAATATCTTGTAATAATATGTATTTGCATTTTTATTTTTGTTCATGGTTTTGAAACTATGGAAAGATCCATGCATTCTCTGCGTAACTAAAAATTATGAAAATTAATTTACTTTGAGTAATCATTTTTGTTTGTTTTAGAAATTTTGCTCCAATACATGTTATAAAAGTTCACAATATTTACAAAAACAACTATTAACTACACCACTGTGGTTACGTGATAAAGATACAGTACCAAAATTTAAATTATTAAAGTAAGTTGATAATCAATATTATTGTGGTTTAAACAAAGTATATATTAGTGGTATTGTAGTCATTATAATAGTACCGGTATCGGGTTCTTTACAAAACTAATAATAACAATATTATAATGATTTGATAAAAATCAAGTTCATTGTTAAAATGTAAAAAATAGGTTTATATTTACACAAGTAGTAAATCGTTAATTGGTAAATTACAAGTTATATTATTACTACAAAGATAAAAAATACTTTTTATTTTCTAGAGTGAAAGGAAGGCACTAAAAAAATAAGCTAAATAATAATGACTTGGGAGGGATTGGGGTAAATTTTTTTAATATGCATAACATTTAATTAAACTTAATCATACCATTGAGTATCATTGTGGAAATTTTAATATAAGATTTTAAAAAAGAATCCATTTTTATAATGAGATGATAAATATTAAGTTTATTTGTCAGTCAATGCTATAAGAATAATATAAATGAGCTTTAATAATTGTTATAAAATCAAAATTTTTCATATCATTTTTGATTCTTATTATCGATAGTTTAATACAGTGAATTCCATACTTTTTTTCACCACGGCATATTACTACTAGTTATTATAATTCTGATCACACTTTGGATAAATATTATCTAATTTCCAAATATAATCATTTTATAAAGTTTTTTTAATAGAAAAAGTTCAAGTTGTCGCGGCACACCTTTCAAATCTTACGTTACACCACTGTGCCTTGACACACCCTTTCTGAAACACTGGTCTAATAGTACTAATAATAACAAGGGGAACTAATTAAGGAATCAATTTTGCAGCCTAGAAGTAAAATAGGAGCAAAATAACATTTTAAGTGCTTGTAAATTAGTAAATTACAAATATGTACAATTACTAATTATAAATACAAAAATTATTTTTAGTAGTATACATATGGAAAAAGAAACTCCATTGGATTCAATTCACAATAGTCAAATAAAATTATCAACACCAACAACTACTGTTTCTGCAACAAATGATACCAAAGTAATTTAAACAAAATATTTATTTATTTTGAATATTATTCATATTTTATTATATTAAGATTATAGGTTTTAATATATTATGTTTTTTTTTTTGGTAATTTAAATTTTTAGTTATCTATTAATATTAACTATAATAAATTAACAAGAAAATAAAATGTGTTTGATGAAAATTCATAATGCTTCTTAAGTATTTTATGTATATAAAAAAAAAGGATTTGGTTATTTGAAGTCAGAATACAACTTTCATGTAGTATGCATTTTTGATTTTTAATTAAAATATCCAATTCTATGTTGATTTTAATTTAAAAATAAATAAAATGCGTAGATAGCAATATATATTTCTTGGAAATATTTACTCAGATATTGTTTAATTGCTTTCAAAAATAATATAGTTATATTATGTAGTTTATTATATTTTTAAATTAAATAAATGAAAATAAAATTTATATTAAACTTATTATTTAATACTGATATAATCATATGTATAGACACACATAGTGTTGCTAATAATTTATAATTAAATGTAATAATGTAATAAATAAATAATAGTTGTATAATAAAATTAAAGATAATAAATAAACAAAAATTGAAAATTATGGACACAGTCCATTAATTTTAATGAGTTAAGTCTTGAGGAAAAATATAAAAATTTATCATTTATTTTTTTATTCTTCAATTTACTATGTCAAATTTAATATCATGATTTGCAATGTATTATGTTTTTATTTTTTATTTTATTTACAGACTGATATTGAAGAAGAATTTAAGAATTTATTAACATTGAAATCCAATAATTGAAAAAAGATCAAGCAGATTACTACCAAAAATTAATATCAGTATGCACATTAAAAATTACATAATTCTGTTTATTTTATTTTAATGTCTTATAATACAAGATAAATTTTATCTTTAAGCCCTCATTATTTCAAAATCATTAATGTTTTTGATTATATATTTTTTTTACGTAGTTTACAGCCAAAATAAAACGAAGTTTTATTTTTAATTTTTTATTGTTATAATTTTTAAATTTTTTATGCTTTTGTGATTAATAAATTGATTAATTTATTTATATTTAAATTAATTTTCTGGATCAAAATATTTATTTTTTTTTAAATTTAAATTTTGATACATAAAATTCCAAGTTTTGATCAGTAGTTTTTGAGTTATAAGTTGGGTTTGGTACATAATACTCTTAAAAAGTACTAATTATGCATGCATTTTTAATATTACAAATATTCTTTAAAAATAGGTATTAATTTTATTTTTTATTCACTGTTTTTATTATTATAAATGTTTTTTTTTAAAAGTTTTTTAAATTTTCAAAATTATATAATTAATATGCTTTTAAAATTACTATATCACTAAATATACAAAAATATGCATTTAAACTTTTAATATTCTAATTCGTTGAGTTGTGAAATAAATGTTAAGCTTACTTGGCAATAAATTTAATAGCAAAAAAAAAAAAAAATTAAAATTATATGCCAATGCAATTACTTCTGAGCTCTAGTTACAAGTAATTATACTTTAGGTTAGCAAAGTGGAATGGTAAAGGGATATCCCGCAAAATGTTAGTCTATAAATCCACTCACCTAAACTTATACTCTTATAACTCCAAAACTATTCCTCCAAATTTCAAAAAATAATATTTTATTTCTACTTTAAATTAAGCAAGTAAAATGTTTTCAAAAACATTAATAAATTTTGATAAACACTTTTAAAATTTTAATATGTAAATTAAACATTGTAATATATAAATTAAAGAAAAAGAAAATAATTATGTGCCTTCAAAGAAACATACAAAAATAACAACATTAAGGCTAGAAGTACTAAAGTATAAGAAAATTTTAGGTATATTCAAAAATGGATATTACTTCTCATTAAACGTGTAATATTATTCCTATTTATAGAATAGCTAAGTATTTTTTTCCTTTATATGTATTATAATTTATTATTTGTGTGTACTATATGTGTTAAAATAAAAACAATTTAAACTGATTATGTAAAAATTTGTTAATGTTATTCAATATCTGGTTTATATTTAATAAATTAAAATACTGAATTTTTAAATTTATATTTTTTAAACATACATTATAAAATATTAAGTTTTATAATTTTTAATTTTATAAATAAATTTGGATACAAATAATTTTATAATTGTATAATCAACTTTATAAGTTTAAAAATTAAAATAATGTTGTATTTGGTAATCCGTTTAATGTAAAACATTATTTATTTTAGAAAATACTAAGGTTTTTGAAAATCTTTTTTTATATAATTTAAAGTTGTTACAAAACAGCATTTTTATGGAAAAATATATTTTTTCTATTTTTATTGTAAACATTTTTTAAGTTTTTACTATTGTGAATGTCAATATACATTTTCTATTTCATATTTCAAAACAAACTATTATTTGGAATATTTAATCAATTAAAATAAAATTTTAGAGTATCAGATAAGCAATTTGTAGAGTATAATATTTTACCACTGTATCATTTGATCATAACATAAGCTCTACTTTGCTCTTCTAAACTTTAAATATTAATTTTAACACGTAAATTACTCGCTAAAATATTTATACTTGTAAAGTAATCTACTTTGAAGTAAGAAATTCAAAATGCATAATTTAATAAAAATAGTAAAAATATAATTTTTAGAGAAAAGTATTGTTTTGAAATGGATTAAAATTGTGTGATAAAAATATTTTCATAAATTTTGATAAATCATCCGTTATGTAAATAACTATTTTATGAATTCGAATCTACTAATTTGTTTTAATAGAACATTTTTCTTTGCTTGTCTTAGAAATTGTTCTGTATTTATTTGGACAGTTATACAGTTGTTTAAGTGAGTGTTTTGTTTTTGGATAAATATCAGTTTAAAACCTTTTCAGAGAATTTGTGAAGAATTGTGAAGATTTTAATAAGTAGGTTTTGGTGAATTAAAATTTTTATTTATTTTTTATTAAAAAATGGTATTTACAATCTAAACTTTAATATTTGTACAATAAGTAATTTTGATAACTGTTTAACATGATGGAAAATTACAGAGTGGGAAGATACTCAGTAGCATCACCTAACAAATCAACCTTTGAAAATTTTATCAACAAAAATGTTTTCAATATTGCTTAAAAATTAAAAAAAATTTAGTAGAAAATTACAAAATATTTGTATCCTTATCAATAAAAAGTTTTCATTGCGGTTCATAAATAAAAAATCGTTAAAATTGTCTAATTAAATATGAAATCCCTTCAAATTTGTTGATAATCTAGGATTGTGCATAGTGTATATTTCATGATTCAGTGGCTTAATTTTTCTTTTTCTTCATCACGATTATGTTTTATAACTTTTTGACTACCAATATTATTATCAGGGTTTAATTTAATATAAAACTTGTAAGTTTTCTTACAACACCACCATTGAATATATTTTTTTAAGTACTTTTGAAATTGAAAAGTGTACTTATCATTAATACCTATATTAATTACGTTGTTTTTCGCTGTACATGGTTTTTATTTTACTCGCCATGATCAAAGTTGAAAACTTGGCTTAAAAAAATCTAACGCACGTAGTAAGTAATGAACCGTTATAATAATGCGATAGTAATATTGTATCTAATATCTATCTATAATCTAAATAAAATAACACACGTCTCACATAAGAAAATAATCAAAATTAAATTATAATTTTTTATCCTAAATTTCGATAATACTAAAATAACCAATAATATTGCCTTTAAAAATTGTAGATGTCACAAGTAATTGGTATGTATACATTAGACGTGTTCAAGAAAAACTTAAGTCACAATTAATATTATATACTTTTTTATACAGGACGCAATTCACAAGCGGTAAGTATCGTGATACTTTAAAGATATGTAGGTATCTAATATTTAGTCATGAGAATCGAGGTACTAATTTTCAAGTATTTTGCCTATCTTAAACTATAGAAATAAATCAATGAAAACAATATTGTTAAAGTTTAAATTTCAAATTTTACGACATTGCATAATCATTAGTAAAATAAATATTTATCCACTTCTGATTTTTGTTATAAAAATAATTTGCTTTGTGATTTTGTGCTCTACTATAAATATATTGTTTTATAATCACATTATGTTTAAAAAAATGTATGGCTCGTGACATCTACTACAGTAAAAAGAAAAAAATGAATGCATTTTTAATTACTATGTAACTTGTATGTTTTTAAGATTTTTTATGAATATTGTAAAAATTTGATTTTAAAGGATTACCTATAAAAAAAATTGTGTTTATGTAATTTTGATACGAACCACTTTTAAAAATCTTGTATTAAACGTTTAAGCAATTTTTATTCAAAAACAAAATTGGTGTTATAAATTAATTAAAAAAAAAAAAAAAAACTAAAAATAATTGAATGTTTAAAATGTCTGTAAATACAGTAGAAACTCGATTATCCGAACTAATTGTGATCGCACCTAGTTCGGATATGTAAAAGTTTGGATATTGGAAATTTAAAAAGAAATGCAATAAACACATTTTTAAAACACAGCTAAATATATTATATTACATATTTATTGTTATTATTATTAAAATTGTATTAGGATTACATAGGTACCTACATTAAATTATTAGAAATATATTACTTAAACAGGAATATATTGTGTTTATTATATTTTTTTAGCAAATTTGATCAAAAATTACCGATACGAATGTTTCAATGAGTTTTAACCTTTGGATACGTTAATTATATTTTGGATAATAGAGGGTTCGTTTAACGGAGGTTCGAATAATCAAAGTTCTACTGTAATTTAAAAAAAAAATAAAAATATTTAGAAAACTTTAAGCGAAGACGGTCTAATAATCTATTTTTATATAGGTACATATGTTAATGCTAATAATTTCATTTAGTAATTTATTTTACTATTAAAGTGTTATTTATTTAGTAATAATGTATAGATAAAGTATAAACAAAAAATAACATAAAATTAATTTAAATATCATGAATATGTTATTGTATGTATTGTATAATTTTGTATCGAAGTTATTAGATTCTTGAACGATAAATAATGATTTTATTTAATTTTTTGTATTTTTAATAAATATATTATTCATAGAAATTTGAAGCTCTCATAATGACTCATTACATATATGTATTATTATTTCTAAATAACCATAAACAATCACAATAATTTAATGTTACAATATACAGTATGTTCACGCTAAGAGGTACCACTAAATATTTCAGTTGGATGATCTCGATAAATATTAAATTTCATCGTTAAATTTCATATGCCAATATTGTAATTAGAAAACTTTTGCTACATAAATTGTTTAGAAAATACTCTATCCGAATATGTAAAAATGGTGTACCATTTAAAAAGTATCGCGCATGCGCGTATCGAAAGTGTTAAAATTTGAAATTTATCTAAAATATGTATTTAAGTACTATCTGTCATTCAGCGAAACCCCATTTCAGTA